TTGATTTTAATTCCAAATAGGCTAGCTGGTTCTGAACATAACTACAGTACTATGGCAACTGATAGGCTAGCGGGAAAGAAATGTTAACATTTGGCCCAAGACAAGACACGATCACAGGCCAGGTGTAGTATGCACATACTGTATACACCAGTATTTACAAATACAACAACAACAAAATTACAGAACAACATGGTTCCTTAACTCCCCAAATAAACAATCGCCAATAATGTTGTGGTCACACAAATGCATCTGCTTAGCCAAGTGATTTAACACATAAATAATTACACTAACACAATCTCCACAATAATATATATGAATAAAATAACAATTAATTTTATACAAAGAAATAATAATAACAGAGAGCAAGATAAATTGATTAAAAAATAGAGCAAACATCCTACACTAGGCTGCGCTCAACTGTAAATTCTGGCCATGGTGGGTGAGCCATAGATAGACATCACTGCCACATGTCTGTGGCTCACCAGTACACACTGTCACGCCTTGAATGGTAACAGAGTGGTAGTTAATGGCCAGTTGCCTGTTAAGGAACGTATAAATTGAATTAATACCATATAGGAACTCATACTATATATGTCATTATTTTTCACAGGAATAATCAGCCGTCACCCGATCCAAACCTATAAAGGCTAATGGGACTAAATCTCACAACTCTAGAGGATAGAAGAAACAGAGGATCCCTTCTGCAAAACACACAACGTAACGGTCCGTATTTTTCCCTTTGTTACAACTTGTAACAAAGTTGCTACATCTTGTTAAAAAGTTTTTATGACATGTTAGTTACTGCAACTTGTTATATTGGTTTTACAATTCGTAAGAGGGTATTACAACTTGTTGACCAAACCACACGTGTTACAACTTGTTCGAGCGTTGTAGAAATTTCATAGTTTCGTTGTGTGTTTGTCGGGGGGGGGGGATATGATCACAACTTATAAGATCCTGAGATAAATATATAAGGTGGATAAGGATAGTCTCTTCAGATTGAGAGAAAATAGGACAAGACGACACAGATGGAAGCTGGAAAAGCATATAAGCCGAAGGGACGTAAGTACTGGTACATTGTACGGGAAGTTAATAAGTGGAATGCTCTAAAAAGAGGAAGTTGTGGAAACCACCTCCATCCACAACTTTAAGGCCTGATTCAACAAAGAATTTGAAAGTCAGAGTAGTTAGGTTGAAACGCAACAGGTAGAAGGCGGGGCAGAAAGAGTTAAGTCCTCACTCCACCGTAGACACTGATAGGTAAATATTGGTAGGTAAGTACTCAGGACCACCCCCCCCCCCACAATCAGAGGGCCCCCCCAAACCCACATTTACAATATCTTCCACTACACCCCCTCAGACAGAATCCCACCCTCCAACTACGATCTACCCTCCACCCCAGAACCTTGAAAATTGATACAATACAATTTAGTAAGATGGTAGGACCGATATGAGTCAAGTTCCGTCCATAAGTACGAGAGAGATCAAGTGTTTCCGTCTTTCACAAGGGTTGAGTCACGACCTGTGGCTCCATGGCGCCCCCACCCACTGACCTACTCGTAAGTTCCTTATTATCTCCACCTTCCACCCCCCCACCCCACCCCCACCATCATCAGGGACGAGGTAAACACACGCCTAGTGAGAGTCCAGCGAGAAGCTGTTTTACGAAGACAAGGGAGCGTGATGACTAGGCTTGGCTTCCGGTGCACGCGCGCGTACATGCACACACGCACACACGCACACACGCACACACGCACACACACACACACACACACACACACACACACACACACACACACACACACACACACACACACACACACACACACACACACACACACACACACACACAGAACTTTTTTAGTGTCAGAGTGGTTGACAAATGGAATGCATTAGGAAGTGATGTGGTGGAGGCTGACTCCATACACAGTTTCAAGTGTAGATATGATAGAGCCCAATAGGTTCAGGAACCTGTACACCTGTTGATTGACAGTTGAGAGGCGGGACCAAAGAGCCAAAGCTCAACCCCCGCAAGCACAATTAGGTGAGTACACACATACACACACACACACACTCCACACACACACACACACACTCCACACACACACACACACACACACACTCCACACACACACACACAGGGTTAGAAAGTGATGTGATAGAGGCTGACTCCATACACAGCTTCAAGTGTAGATATGATAGAGCCCAGTAGGCTCAGGAACCTGTACATTAGTTGACAGTTGAAAGGCGGGATCAAAGAGCCAGAGCTCAACCCCGCAAGCACAATTAAGTGAGTACACACTCACCAGTTGATTGACGGTTGAGAGGCGGGACCAAAGAGCCAAAGCTCAACCCCAGCAAGCACAACTAGGTGAGTACACCAAAATTTTTGTGAGACCAAAGTTGAAATATGCAGTAGTTGGATGGTGCCCATATCTTAAGAAGCACATCAATAAACTGGAAAGGTACAACAGCATGATATAAAATGGACTGAAAAACAAGAGTTACGGGCAGAGACTAGAGGCGTTAAATATGCCAAAACTAGAAGATATGAGAAAAAGAGGCGATATGATCACCACTTACAAGATAATAACAGGAATCAACCAAATTGACAAAGAGGAATTCCTGAAACCAGCAACAGCAACAACAAGAGGTCAAAGATTAACTAAGGAAACAAAGATGCCGAAAATTGTTTACAAAGTTTTCTTTTGCAAATAGAATAGTAGACGGTTGGACCAAGTTAAGTGAGAAGGTAGTGGAGGGCAAAACCGTCAGTACTGTAGTTTCAAAGTGTTATATGCCAAAGAGTACTGGGAAGACGGGACCCCACGAGCGTAGGTCTCATTGTGTAATTACCCTTAGGTAATTACACACCTAAAAACACACATACAGGTCCTCGCAGCTGAGAGGTCAGCACTCTGGGGGTCCTAGTCCTAAGGGCCCGGGTTCGATTCCCGATCGAGAGAGAGAGAACCCCTTGCTCCCTTTAGTAGAAGCTGGATGAAGTACGCCACTACCCATGGCAAGGTCTTCCACGGGGCCATCGTGAGCCAGCCCACTAGTGCCATTTAAGTCGATACGCCTGACCACCAGCCTCGGGTATGTAGGCTGTATGTGGCTCGGGGCGCGTATGCCATGGTGAAGTTGAGAGAGAGAGAGAAGGCCGCCCGCCACCATCACTGATCCAGTTTTGAAATTAAACATGCCTGTTGACTGCTTGCCTGCCTCGCCGTGGAATGTTGCTTGGTGGTATGATGCATGACCCTCATACACACACTCTCCCTCCACACACACGCACGCACGCTCCACGCACGCAAACAGCAGTTAGAGGCATAAGAAAATGGAGAGCTAACATGGAATGATAGACAAACACGGGGGGTTAAATGGAAAAAAGTCCAAGAGATTTTCAAATTGGAACCGGGACAGATACCTAACACGGTAGGGAAAGTCCTTCCTGAGACGAAACTAAAACTGTGAAACCTGACAGGATCTCACCATGGATAATTACGGAAGCTGCTGAAATAGTGTAAGCCACTTGCATTGATCTGCAGTGCAGATCTGGAGAGGGGGGTAGTGTTTTATTTCAATATACAAGAACAGACACAAACCACTAAACTACACAGATCTGTGTAGCCTAGGTTATGTTAGGATAGGACGGGTTAGGTTAAATTAAAGTTAAGCTAGGTTATGTTTGTTAAGTAATGTTATGTTAGATTAAGTTGCGTTGGGTTAGGTTAGATTAAGTTACGTTGGGTTAGGTTAGCCACAAAGACATCAACAATATTTTTTTTTCAGTGTCAGAGTAGTTATCAAATGAAATGCACTATGAAGTGATGTACCGTGGTGGAGGCTGACTCCAAACACAGTTTCAAATGTAGATATGATAGAGCCCAATAGGCTCAGCAACCTGCACGCCAGTTTATTGAAGGTTGAGAGGCGGGACCAAAGAAGCGAAGCTCAACCACAGCATAAATAATTAGGCGAGCAGATAGACGGATACATATTTTGTCTAAGAGTAGGCAGCTCTGCATGGCTGCCTACTATCTGCCTGCCACTCACGCATGACGTCAAAACTTGTGTTCCACGTTCTTGTGTACTGACCTGTTACGTTTGACCCCTTCTTCATTATATATCTGGCCTCTCATACCTGATTTGTGACTCCTTCACTGTGTTATCTGGTCTCTCATAGCTGACCTGTGACCCCTTAATTATATTATGCTATATCTAAACGCTATGCTTGTGGTCGGTTTTGAGCCCATTGTTGATGTGAATTTGTGCATTGAATTTTGTAACTAACTCATCAAGATTGTAGCCTGCTTAGCTAAATGAATTATGGGGTTCAGTCCCTGAGCCCATTATGTGCCTCTGTAACCCTTCCTCCAACGGGGAACACATCTCCCGTCACGCAGGGTGCAGTCGCACCTCCACAGATCTCCAGTATCAGGTAATGATACTGGTAATGGCTCCAAAGGGCCACCATTTACGGGCTATTCATGCCCGTGCCACCTTTTGGGTGGCTTAATCTTCATCAATCATCAATCCTTTCTCCATACCCCACAAAATGGGTATGGGGTGCATAATAAGTGAATTAAACTAAACTATATGCGTTCTAGTGGCTGTACAAGAATATATGAACTCATATACATATATATGTATCTATATATATATATATATATATATATATATATATATATATATATATATATATATATATATATATATATATATATATATATATATATATATAAAAGATGCAAAAAACAAAAAAAGATGCTTTTTCACTCATATAGTTATAAACCCATGGAACTGCCTACCCGCCAGAGGCATATAAGCCAATACATTGCTGAAGTTCAAAATCCAGCTGAATAAAATTATCAATTAAAATGGGGGTGTACCTTCAACACGCCACCGGCTTCCTGTCCCCGTTTTGGCCACTGGAGAGATGGTGTCCCCTCAGGTAAATTCAGGAAAAACTCTTTGTCTCTGCCGGTGCGGCTTTGTGCTATAGTCGCCCCTATCCCACCACCACCAACAACAACACCCAGGAACGCTCACCACAGTGCTGGCACTCTCTACATTACTGGCACTCTCTACATTACTGGCCTTCAACATGGCGATGGCATCTCCTATGGAGAGACTTCAAGTGCTGGATAATATAGAGAAGGACATTGCTACGGTGTTGCAGTCAGCAGGTACATGTCTTCCTTACACAACGGATGTACCCGGCCTGAAGATTATGGTGTCAGGCTCACATTGTACCCGGTCTGATGGTTCTGGTGTTGGTCTCACATTGTACCCGGTCTGATGGTTCTGGTGTTGGTCTCACATTGTACCCGGTCTGAGGGTTTTGGTGTTGGTCTCACATTGTACCCGGTCTGAGGGTTTTGGTGTTGGTCTCACATTGTACCCGGTCTGATGGTTCTGGTGTTGGTCTCACATTGTACCCTGTCTGATGGTTTTGGTGTTGGTCTCACATTGTACCCGGTCTGAGGGTTCTGGTGTTGGTCTCACATTGTACCCGGTCTGATGGTTCTGGTGTTGGTCTCACATTGTACCCGGTCTGATGGTTCTGGTGTTGGTCTCACATTGTACCCGGTCTAATGGTTCTGGTGTTAGTCAGAAATCATCTTTCATGAGCCTGTATATGCTGGCTAAAACAAACAATTATTACTTGTTCATCTGATCTCTCCTGATAAGTTTATTGCAAATACCATACGTTTACATGTACAGTATTAGTGGTAAGCAGACTTTTAGACAGAAAGTACAGTGCATTTGCTTCAATATTTGAAGACTGATGTTTAATCAACTGTTGCCTAATTTAATTATTTTGGCTGTGTTAAATATAGATCCATGGGCAGTTGTACTATATGAATGCAGTAATACCAAATTTAAATTGGCTTAATTAAATTTTTTAAATCTTTATCGAAATAAAGCAGCTTTGTGGATCTGTAGCTAAACAGAACAGCATCCCATGGGACTATCCAAAAATGCCTAATTAAGCAAAGGATGACTATTCAACTTACTGTATTGCCATTGCCTGAAATGCTGTGGATCTTAAGGGTCTTTACAAAAGAATACTGTACATCACTTCATACCTAAGGTGGTTCACCAATAAATTCAAAATCAAATATAACACAGCCTATCCTAACAATATACTACTGTATACAGTTTAAATGTCTAGAAAACAAGCTTTGTCCAAATGCCTTTGTAGGTTTTCACTGTTCCTCTTTACAAAATTATTCTTCACTTTATACTGAATTTGTACAGTAACTCTAATGCCCTACTACAAAACAATGGATACAATTTAGGTAAGTTTAAATTTAAATTCAGTTAAATTTTGTAACTGTTCTTGCTGGTTTCATAAATTGTTGTTCTAGAAAAGCTTTCTCATTCATTTATATATAGCTTTCCTTTCCTCAGTAATGTAATTTAGTACATGGTTCTCCACCTAACCACCGAAGCTGTATTCACTTAGTTGTATTCACCTGGTTGTGCTTGCAAGGGTTGAGCTCTGCTCTTTCAGCCCACCTCTCAACTGTCAATTAATCAAGTGTTACTAACTATTCCCCCCCCCCCCCACACACACACCCCAAGGAAGCAGCCTGTAACAGCAGTCTAACTTCCAGGTACCTATTTACTGCTAGGTAACAGGGGCAGCAGGGTGAAAGTAACTCTACCCATTTTTGTTTCTCGCCGGCGCTGGGAATCGAACCCGTGCCACAGGATTACATGTCCAGTGTGTTATCCACACAGCCACTGATGCCCCTTGACATGCTTCTGTGCATGCCAAGACAGTAATCTTGTTCTTAGGGTCTGATTCTCCACCTAACCACCAAGACCAGGACCAGGACCTGGTCTTGGTTGCCAGGCTGATCTCTCTTTCTCTCCCTCAGTCAGCCATGTTGAGGCTGCATTTGTGCACTCCAGCTGGTGCTAGGGTGGACTCAACTTTCCTGTCAGGACTTGGTGTTCTTTTTGGACAGCTTGGCCTTTCCTAAGAGGTGTTTCTGCCAGGCCTGTCTTGATTTTTATACTCTGAATAGGGCCAGTTGTACTCAGTTGTGTTTGTGGGGGGTTGAGCTTCAGCTTTATGGTCCCACCTCTCAAATGTCAATCAACTGGTGTACAGGTTCCTGAGTCAATTTGGCTCTATCTGCATTTGAAACTGTGTATGGAGTCTGCCTCCACCACATCACTTCCAAATGCATTCCTTTTTTTTAACTACTTTGTTTGAGGTCAGAGCTGTCATCCTTACTTATCTTGCACCCTATTCCGTGATCTGCATTTTCTCAGGTCATTTGCATTCAGGTTCAGTTCAACCAGCTGGCTGTTTGTCCCCACTCTGCAGATGTGCAGATTTTTGCTACTCAGTTGTTCTCCTGTGTGTCAGCCCAGTCCATCTTTATTTATTTATTTATATATATTTATATATCTATATCTGCCATCTGGCAGTCAGGATATTTGCCACAGCAACAATTGTTTGTCTTCTTTACCTAGAGGTACCCATTATCCTTCAGGCAGTTGCAGGTTTTGTGCACCGATGTATTTTGGTGTTTCCCTTAATTTTGTGAGTTATCTCTAATCTGTCCCCCTTGCCTTGTAGAGTGAACTAGATTCTGTGATGTATTCATGTAAGTGTACTTACCTAATTGTGCTTAGGCTTGCTGGGCTTGGTATTACCAGAGTTAAGCTTGAGCAGGCAGTAGGGGAGCTCACCAGAAAAGAAATTTTAATTATATTCATCACTTGGTTTTTAAGACACACTGTTGATATATATATATAAAATTGCAATTGAAATTTCAACATGCAATTTACTGTATAGAGAAAAGAAAAAAGCTTAGTTTGGTTCATTTAGTTTGGCACAATTAACAGTTGAATTGACATTTCTGGTTTTTCCATATCCATAATTTTTATATCTAATTTATGATCATTTCTTTAACAAAAATCTAGATGGTTGATGTTAAAAATATGAACATTCAGGATACTTAGTGTTTAAATAATTTGTTGACTTTCTGTGGCTGCAATTACCTGAATAGCCTATAAGTAGATAGAATTTAAATATTCTTCAATGTATCTTAGGTCAGGCCCTGACAGAATTAAGCAAGGATAAACCAGCCAACAAGCAGGTCGAAGCTCATGTTAATCAGTTTCGGCAGACCCTCACGAACGTTGAGACCGAGTTGGCCAAGCAAATTAACTACCTTACACAGGTATCTACAGGTATGTAGATTATTCCTTTCTGTATGCCTGCTGGCTTATAGAGTTCCTCATAGTGTATCTAGCCCGGCTATATCCCTATTCTAAATGGTTTTTACTACAAATACCAGAGTACCAATTATATATTTTTCATGAGTACTGTACTATATTTATTGTTTGACCATTCAGGAGCTACAGTATATTGATAATACTCATTAACAAATGAGACTGTGCAACTGCAACTTATAAGTAGTTTATAGGTACTGCAAATTCCTTAGTGTAAGGAATTTGAAACATTTATCTTGCTAATGACTGTACAGTGCAGCATAATCTCTAAGGAATAATTTTTAACAGGACAAGCCCATGAGGGGTCTAGCTACAACTCCCAGAAGACCTTACAAATGGCAATGCACCGCCTTGATCATGCGAGGACTCGAGTCAACGAGCTGGAAGCTATCAAAAGTAAGCACATACAGCTGCTACAGCAGCATCAACTCCAGAAACAGCAGGGCATGCCTCAACCACCACAGTCATCTTGATATTAGCTTTTTCAATTTTCCATAGTGAAAATACATTAACTACTTGTTAATAACGTATTTGGCAGGGAGCACAAATACACGTTACTTTACTTTATAAACTTTAATACAATACAGCATTTGTAATATAATTTTTGGTTTAATATAACTTTCCCTCAAGATGTAAGGTGTCCTTGTCAATCCCATGTTGGATTTTCTTCTCAAGATGTTACAAAAATTTTATCATTGATCCAATTCGGATGCTGACCTCTTCATACAATTGGATTAATCAGTTCTCCAGTAGGATTGGAATTATATTAAGTGGTTACATTTAATTGTTTTGAATTACAGTATATTATAAAAGTGATCATAGTGTTAGTTTGTATTTTGTATCTTTATATAAAATATAAAAGTAAACATAAATAGCAGTGTGTTAGTTGAACCCCCATCCATTAAGAAAGTAGAGGTGGTATGATTTAGTTTGTCTCGGGACATCACAGTTTCAGATTAGTGAATTTGGCCCATACTGTGGCAAATGTTAGGCTCACAATCAAGTTTGAACCCACACTGAAGTAGTCACTGTTGGCTTTAATAGCTTTTGCTTACTGGCTCATCACAAAAACAACTAGTTTATAAATACAGTGTCCACAGTTATGTAATATTATCAATCTTGTCACTTGTTCGCAAATTAAATTTTTTAACCCATACACCAATTTTTAAGTTTTCAATGCTTACATATTGAGCTCTATTACACAGAAATAAATAAATGTATTTCCTTTGACACTGGCAAGTGTGTTTCACTCGAGCCACACAAATATAGAGACCACTCACTAATTTGGATCATGTGTAGCAAACCTGCATCCAAGTTACCTAGAGATGGTTCTAAGAATGAGCCCACAGCCCAGTCTCTGACCAGACCTAGGTGATGGTCTGGTTAAAATAAATTTTAACTTGTTAGATTTTGATGCTGTCATTACTGCCCACAGATTAGAATACTGTAGTCAACTTTACAGTGCAGGAACATATTACTGTACACATTAGAATGAAAGGACTCAAATGATATATTTAACATGAAAATCTAAACATAAAATGTGCCTTTTAGTATCTTAACCTTAAAAAAATTTAGATTGTCAAGCACTTGTAAAGTAATTTTAATTGCCAGATTCTGATGCATTACTAGTTGAAGGTACTTGGCATTTAGGTCTAATTTTTTTCATTGGCTTTGATCAGTTCTTTGACCTGCCTGAAGTATGAATATAAACCTCCTGTACCTCAATTTTCACTGTTGAAAGCACAATTAATAAAATGATAAATGCTTCCCATAAAAGGAATTCAATTTTTTTTAGTGTTTTGTCCTGTTTCATCAATTTCCTGAATGTTACTTTTAATTGCTGTAAATGATTTTGTCTTCAGTCATCATACCATAATCTGGGTCATTAGCACCTTCAGGTGGTTGACTGCTGCTGTCCGTATACATCTTATTTTTAGTCTGCTAGTTAAGCTTGTATTAAAAGAAAAAATTTATATATTATATCTGAAGAATTTTCATTTAAATTTTTTCTTTAATACAAGCTGAACTAGCCGACTAGAAATAAGATGTATACAAACAGCAGCAGTAACCTTGTATCAGAAACACAAGGCTAGCTCACAGGGTTGGGATATGTACAATTACTTTAGTAAGGAAATGCAGGCATTTCTACCGATACAGTTCTTATATACAGTACTGTACTGTAGGTATACAGTACTTGGTAAAAAAAAAACCTTAAAATTGTATTAATTCAAATACCTGTACTCATTTGTAAACAGGCCACTGCGCGTCAGTAAGTAGCTCGACCACTTGAGCCTCGTAATTCACATTTCACCCGAATCAAGATTCTAACTCGGTCATGGTGCTGGCTATATTCCCCACGAGAATCAAGTAACTTTCGTTACAATTAGTGAGCAATGTAATAAATTGAAAAGGTGCAATAAAGAGTTATACAGTACAATACATATATTGTTCGCATAATGTATTTAACTCAATATCAGGACCATTCATAAACAGCAGATTCAGTAAATCCCTTAGTTGTCACAGCTCTCATACAAGCAGCACCGAGGATTGTATTACAAAAATCACTACTAGAACGTTACATTACTTATCATACCTGCATATTTAATATAAATATATCTACAGTAAATATTTGGTTTCTTTGCATATTTTGGAAGGAATGTGAGAAATACTAAAATTTATACTAATGCCAGATCTACAATATTTTATTAGGTATTTCCATATGCAGTAAATGAGTGGTCAGTAAATTATGACAAAGCACTGCTTGGGAAATCCACTTTGCACAGATCTAGATATACTGTATTTTACTTAGCATCGACGCCAATATAAAATTTTACCTACTGGTAAATCCTCTTAATACTGTACAAATTATTTTTAATGAAAAATTACAAAGTTCTTACAAGTCCCCTTGAACTACCATATACTGCTCAAGTATGACTGTAGCAGAGATGAATATTGATGCCCACTTGAACCAAATTAAAGTATCACACCAATGTTAAATAAATTTATATATAAATATCACCAAGGAAAACTGCCAATGTTTGTCTCGACGTGAATGAGTATACGATGCACAACATACAAGAGGAATATGCAATGTGACAACACCAATTAACAATCTTAAATATACGGTATATAATTTAGGGAGAACAATTACATAATCAGATACAATATACAAGTTGTGTCATGGATATAATGATATTCTTATTTTATATTCCAAAGTAAAGCAGTTGGAGCTGCTTGGTGATATGGTCAGTGTTACACTACATCAACACTGCATAAACTTACTTGGACCAAATTATGGACTTAATAAATTATAAAATATGAAAATAGTATTTAAGAATCGATACAAAAAATATTATTTTAGAACCTTAGCAAAGCTAATGAAGATCTATTTTTAACTACCAGTGTTTTAAGATTTCACCACCTCCAACTTTGGCAAATACTGTAATTTTCAGCATAGATACTTTAGGGGTAGGCTATAACATGCCCGTTAATGCTCTAAAATAACCACAAAGTGATTTTTGTGTACCACTGTAAAATTTGACAGCTAAATAACCTTACCATAAACAAACTATTTTCCAATTAAAGTTCTTTAATTAACATTGTCATCATCTTAGATGGCACCAGCAGGAAGCTGGTGGATACTTCCCCTATACTGTACTATTGGACAAGTTTTCCCACATTTAAAATGTTTACACTGTTCCTGCTTTAACAGGACCAATGGGTAGACTTTTATGGGCGTATTACTCTCATCTTGTGCTCTGAATTATCAAGCTTTACATTGTGGCCTTTAATACATACAGCACTTCAATGTTTATGTTAAAAACAAAAATATTCAAGTCATAAATCTTCAGATAATTAATAAACTAGTTCAGGGCCTTTCTCCCCACCCAATGACAGTGGGAAGCAAAATAATGTATGTATGTATGTATCTATCCTGTTGTGTATTTTGAAGCCCTATATCCTGGAATCGGGTCAAATTATTAAGAAGTGTGACCTTGTGTTGAGAATCTTACTAGTGATGCAAATTTTTTCTGCAAGTGTGGTTGGTATGGGCTTTATGGAATAGCTTGACAAGCTATTCCATAAAGGCGTGATAGCGTACCAATTTCACAATTCATAATTTCTTGTACCATTTTCAGAAAACAAGAGTTTAATATTTCCACTGTTTTTCACACACGTTGAATGTAAATAATTAATTATTAACATCTTAATCAAGAAATTCACACCTGCTGAGCCCCCACACAGAAAAAGAATAACCCATCCAGCTTTTACTCGAGAGATCTTTTCACTGGTGGGGGACTTGCTTCAGATCGACACTGCCCAACTGTGATTGATTCCATAGGCACGATAGCATGGGCAAAATTAGACTTTCTTTTGCCTACGTAATTAAATTGTATTGGTATAATTTGCCAACAGCTGCACAAACTTCAAAACATAAAAAAAGGCTTGAAGGCAAAAAAATTACAGTACACATTATTGTTAACACACACACCATCCTTTCATGAATAGCTACTATAATTTTATAAACACAAAATAGGTAACAAAAACACTTATAGTTCTGTATATTCTGATCGCTAATCATGCATGAAACAGTTCATACATGCACTATACTTGGTAATAATAAAATTATCATCATCTATAATTGCTATAAGTATTAACCAAGGGCACATCAGATGATATATTCACAGCAGACACATATGGAGGAAACACACGAGGCAAGTATTATGAGTGACGGTAATTTCCACTAGCCTAGTCATTTTCCAACAAGGATTTCTCTACCATAATGGAGTCATAACCTGGAGGTGGACCATGGCTGAAGTTATCAAATATAACATCCATTATAGCACCATCATCAACTGAAATGGAGAAGCAGAAGTTATTTGACAACATGAATTGCAATAATGGTCATTAATATAGTAGTCTTTAATAAAATTCCTTGCAATAATAAAATAGTTTGCCACTTTTATCTGATGTTGGCGTACCAATCGTATTGGCGTTTGCCTTTCCATTGGAGACTTTCACCACCGTGGAGAGAGGGGGATCTGCTGCATGGGTGACAGCTTTTTCCCCGTATCAACCTGCCCTTGCTTTGCGCCCTGGAGAGGCCACTCCAGACTGACAACCAGAGCGCAACTCCATAGTCTCCCGAGATTGATGGATGCCTGCTACTACTACTACTGTTACTTAACAAAGCAGTTTAAAAATGTCAGTCAAACAAAGAGTCACTTACAAGTGTTACACAATATGTAAGGTCATCAGGTTGAATGTAGGCTACAGTATTATATTTGAATAAGATTTCTACAGTGTAGAAGCCCTGATGACAGTGATAATGTAAATATCATACTACTGTACTACTGTCAAGTGAATATTTTAAGACTAAATTCTCATGTAACAACAAATCGTCTTCATCTTGCAATCTTGCAAGATTTGTTGTTCAATTCAACCAACATTCCAATCTAGGTTGCCAAAGTTTAATAGAAATTTAATTGTTTTTAAAAGCTTCAATTAAATAAAAGGCTGATATATTATCATGTTAATCACTATGAATTAATTTTAAATTAATATATAGTTATCTTGTGTTGCAATTACAGTATACTGTATATAATAAAGAATAAAGATACAGCTAATAAGGATGTCGGCACACAATACATTTATGTATCGAGGGTTTGCATTAATGAATACAGAAACTTCTTGGCCAGAGGCCTTACTAGATGATTTCTCAACATTTTGTGCAATGAAAATTCATGACAAAATAACATACATCTGGTGGGCTTAGCCACATCTGAAATCCCCACAACTACTTACAATAAACAATCCTATAACCAAGACAGTTCAAGAAAACAATCTAAAAATGTATCCCCCCCTGGCCATCATCTCTCATGATACAAGCAGGGTGGTTTAATTAGTGATAGGTGTGTGTGATAACTATAGAAAAAATGTATATATACTATGAGGAGGCCTGGTCGATGGGCTGGGCCACCGGGCCACGCAGACATTGAGCCCCCAAATCATCGCAAGGTAAGGTAATGCTTTGTGGTTAAAATATCTGTCACTAGGGTGCTTCCCATTCCAACACGACCTTTGTGCACCATCATACATCAAATGTGGAAAGACAGTCACAATAACGTGGCTGAAACGGTCTTTCTTCATTTTCAACTGTGGGTTGGATATCAAAGTGTGGAAAATTTCAAGCTGATACTGAAATGTGTTCCTCAGTTGAGATACCCTCTCCTTACCCCGAGATTCACCACCTCTAATGCCCTTGAAGTGGACAGGTAGTGGGCAGCTTGTCAATGGTCCCTATTGTTCCAGAGTATTTCTTTCCAAGTGACTTTTAAACTGAGATAATGTCTTGGTTTTTACAACTTTAGTGGATAGGTGGTTTTATGGGGTTTATTACCATATGAGTGGAAAAGCATTACTGTTTTCTGTTTTAAATTATGGTTTGTTGAGTTTGAAGCTGTTGTCCCCCCTTGTATGTGTTACCTTTGACCTTTTTAAGTGGTCTGGCCTAATATCTCCCAATATGTTTCTTACCAAAAACACCTAATTATCAGGCAGATATAATAAACTGTCCAACTTCCATCTTTTTCATTCATTCTTTTGAAACAATATAAAGTATACTAACCATATAAGGCAGGATACACAGTACCCTTGAAGGTAGTAAGAGGTGTGTTTGTGGGTCTGCCGTTGATGTAGAAGTTCAACTCAACATGATCATAGCTAACACCCTGAAAAATTAACATATTCATATTCTTTTTCCTCATGAAATATTTACACAAATTATTAAAAACTTTAAGTTAGATTTTAATAAATCAAATCTTTATTATAAAAAAATAAAGCTCAAATGTGTCTCAAAACACACACTCACTAATAGTAAAAGTATGTCCATAATTAAGAGGAAGCAAACACTGTACTAATAATCCGACTCACACATACAATGTCACTGCTTGATACTGTACGAGTTCAAGACCAGGACGGACTGAAACGTCGTCACTTTCAATTTGTATGCGTGGGTTGGGTTTTCAGCCACATTATTGTGACTTATTCTTTGCAAATACTGTACTGTTGACAGGAAAACTTTAACTATTACTGCCATATTAAAGCCAAAATATAGTAAATGACTATTCTTGTATATAAAGTACAGTATATATATATTTGTTCACTTGACCCTTACGGAAGGCAAAGTTTATCACAGTGAACAAGCCAACCCATTCTCAGATCTGTAGCCGATATCACAGACCAAGTTAAATAGCAAGTTATATGTAGTTACAATGTGCACAGTAGACTAAATGCGAGTTAAGGTGTAATGATCTGAATGAATGTAATAGGGGGTTCTGGTTATATTAGTTGTAATGCCAGTGTTTGTAGTAATGAACATGCTTGTCCGCAGCTATAAACGATATGGTTGTTATGGTCTTAGTGTGCTGGCGGTTATAATGATAACAGCCAGAGGGAGGAAAGAGGGGTTGGGGGAGTAGCCAGAGGGAAGGGAGAGGGGTGGGGAGGCAGTCAGTAGAAAAGGAGAGGAGTGGGGAAGCAGCCAAAGGGAAAGGAGAAGGTTGGAGAAGCAACCAGAGGGAAGGGAAAGGAGTGGGGGGGGGGGGGGAAGCAACCAGAGGGAAGGGAAAGGAGTGGGGGGGGGGAAACAGCCAGAGGGAAGGGAAAGGGGTGGGGGGAAACAGCCAGAGGGAAGGAAAAGGGGTGGGGGGGGAAACAGCCAGAGGGAAGGGAAAGGGGTGGGGGGAAACAGCCAGAGGGAAGCAGCCAGAGGGTTGGGGAAGAACCAGAGGGAAGGGAGTGGGGTTGGGGAGCAACCAGAGAGAAGGGAGAGGGGTAGGGGGGGGGCAGCCAGAGGAAGACAATAGATACCAGTGTCTAGTAATAAAAAATCTGAAAATATATTTGGTTAAATATATAACACCCTTTTATACATTTCTATGAAAGGGTATAACAAGGATGATTTAGCTAAGCTATAAATGTAAATTGAAAATACAGTACTGTACTGCACTGTATTTTGGCCAAATTTATATTTTGGTGCACCACACTTTTACAGCAAACTTATGTAAATAAATAAATAAATAAATAAATATGTTTATTCAGGTAAGGTACATACATACAAGTGATGTTACATTAATGGATCAATATATAGATAGAGCTAGTACATACAATGTCTAAAGCCACTATTACGCAATGCGTTTCGGGCAGTTAATGTAGAACATTACCATATAATCTACAGAAATTTCTTACCAAAATATCCCCTTCCTGAGGGATGTCAACAATTTTGTACTTTTCCTCTGCATTGTGTCGTACAGTACCATCCGAACACAGTACCCATGACTGCGCATCCTCCCCCAGGGGCACTTTGTTTAGGTTGGCATTGCGTGTTGCAATCCCCACGCCCCATACACCTGTCAATATGTAAGAAATGGTTGAAGAATGATGTATGATTTTTTCTTCACAATCTATATACTCCAAGCAATTGCCATACTATTTTCCCATCTTCATCTCAATAATGTGGACTTTTCAACAGTTTTGCCAACTTGTATCATATTCTTAAATCAAGTGGTAGGCTTTCAACTATAAAATGAAAATAAATCTTCATTCCAAAATGAAAAATATTAAACATTTACACTAACCTGATTGCTGTAGTTTGACTTCAAAATAGGCTTTATTCTGTAGAATGGGAATGTTACCAAGTGCACCGCCAGTCCCACAAATTCTGATTCCATTTTTCACAATTACTACTTCATGGCCTGAAATTAAATACGAAATTTAGCCAAATCTTTCAAGTGGCGGCAATCACAGGTGAACCTCACCCACCAGATAAGACCAGATAAACCACAAAATAATGTTCATAATTTGGGGAAATTTCATTAGAAGGTTTTCCTTATTTTATTGCAAACATCTTTTATTGAAGATCATCAGGGGAAATGAGGGGGACTTTAGACAAGCCGTCAGCTTCCTGTCCTCCTCAAGATACGGCACACCCCGGCTGCCGTACCGGGCACACCCCAGCTGCCGTACCGGGCACACCCCAGCTGCCGTACCGGGCACACCCCAGCTGCCGTACCGGGCACACCCTAGCTGCCGTACCGGGCACACCCCAGCTGCCGTACCGGGCACACCCCAGCTGCCGTACCGGGCACACCCCAGCTGCCGTACCGGGAACACCCCAGCTGCCGTACCGGACACACCCCGGCTGCCGTACCGGACACACCCCGGCTGCCGTACCGGGTACACCCCCGTTGCCGTACCGGGCACACCCCAGCTGCCGTACCGGGCACACCCCCGTTGCCGTACCGGGCACACCCCAGCTGCCGTACCGGGTACACCCCCGTTGCCGTACCGGGCACACCCCGGCTGCCGTACCGGGCACACCCCCGTTGCCATACCGGGCACACCCCAGCTGCCGTACCGGGCACACCCCAGCTGCCGTACCGGGCACACCCCTGACACACTGACTGCCGTACCGGGCACACCCTGCCGTACCTGACACACTGACTGCCGTACCGGGCACACCCTGCCGTACCTGACACACTGACTGCCGTACCGGGCACACCCTGCCGTACCTGACACACTGACTGCCGTACCGGGCACACCCTGCCGTACCTGACACACTGACTGCCGTACAGGGCACACCCCCCGGCTGCCGTACCGGTGAGTCAGAGTGCCAGGCACGGCGGCCAGGGTGCCCAACACCCTAGATATACTTGCCCATGTAGCCTGTGTCGAGTATAATGGTGGGTGTGGTGCGTATGGGGACGGTGGTGTGAGGGGCGGCGCCACACAGGTGACGGAAGCAACACAGGTACATTGCCATATTGCCAGCCAGTGTTGCCAGCCTCCATCACAACACTGTGACAGTGTTGCCAGCCGCGCTCTCCTGTCACTCGACCTCCCACTCACATCAACTAATAATACAAATATATGTATTTTCCATAGATTCTTATTACAATGTTTGCATATTATGTATTTGATACTGATTTATAAAGACTAATCACGCGCAGCATTTCTGGAAAACCTTAATTAAAGCTAATGTGGTGATCTCACTGATGTTAACAACTACAGACCTATATCAATCCTGCCAAACTTGTCAAAAATATTTGAAAAACTAATCTACAAGCAGCTTTACTCTTATCTATCCAAACACAATATACTTAGCTCTTGTCAATATGGCTTCAGACCCAAAAAAGCACTAACGATGCAGTTATTAATATGATTAACCTGATACATGCAACTCTTGATAAAAAGGAGTTCCCTGTTGGGTTATTTGTGAACCTGCGTAAGGCTTTTAACACTGTCAACCACCAAAACCTTCTTTTTAAATTACATCATTATGGAGTCAGAGGACACTCCCTGCAATACCTCAAATCTTACCTTACTGACAGGCTCCAGTATGTTTCTGTGAATAATTCAATTTCTCCCACCCTACCCATCAACATTGGTGTTCCTCAGGGTAGCATACTTGGCCCTCTCCTCTTTCTCATCTACATTAATGACCTTCCAAATGCCTCCCAACACCTCAAACTAATTCTATTTGCTGACGACACAACCTTCATTTACTCCAGTCCTGACCCCCTTGCTCTAAATGTCACAGTGAATACTGAGCTAAATAAAGTCCATCTTTGGCTACCTGCCAACAAACTCACCCTCAACATTGACAAAACTTTCTCTATTTTGTTTGCCAATAAATCCTCAAATCAAATAAATCTCAGGATAAATACCCAAATTTGTAACAAAGCAGATGGCAAATTCCTAGGCGTTCTCATTGACCACAAGCTGAATTTCCAGGGACACATTCTAAATATATCAAAAAAAGTTTCAAAAACTGTTGGCATTCTTTCTAAGATCAGATATTATGTACCTCGCCCTGCCCTGGTGACGCTCTATTACTCCCTCATCTATCCTTATCTCAACTATGGCATTTGTGCTTGGGGTTCTACTACCCAAAATCATTTACGTCCTCTAACTACTCAACACAAAAAGCTGCTATTAGGACAATATCCAACTCTGGCCCCAGACATCACTTAATGCCCCTACTCAAATCTCTGAATATGTTAGATATTAAGTCATTGCACATCCTCTCTTGTGTATATATATATATATATATATATATATATATATATATATATATATATATATATATATATATATATATATATATATATATATATATATATATATATATATATGCGAACAAGCCTGAATGGTCCCCAGGACAATATGCAACTGAAAACTCACACCCCAGAAGTGACTCGAACCCATACTCCCAGAAGCAACGCAACTGGTATGTACAAGACGCCTTAATCCACTTGACCATCACGACCGGACAAAATGAGGTGATAGCCGAGGCTATTTGAACCACCCCACCGCCGGCACTCGGATAGTAATCTTGGGCATAGCATTTTACCAAATCACCTCATTCTTTGGGGCACACGTGAGGAACACAAATGCGAACAAGCCTGAATGGTCCCCAGGACAATATGCAACTGAAAACTCACACCCCAGAAGTGACTCGAACCCATACTCCCAGAAGCAACGCAACTGGTATGTACAAGACGCCTTAATCCACTTGACCATCACGACCGGACAAAATGAGGTGATAGCCGAGGCTATTTGAACCACCCCACCGCCGGCACTCGGATAGTAATCTTGGGCATAGCATTTTACCAAATCACCTCATTCTTTGGGGCACACGTGAGGAACACAAATGCGAACAAGCCTGAATGGTCCAAAGGACAATATGCAACTGAAAACTCACACCCCAGAAGTGACTCGAACCCATACTCCCAGAAGCAACGCAACTGGTATGTACAAGACGCCTTAATCCACTTGACCATCACGACCGGACAAAATGAGGTGATAGCCGAGGCTATTTGAACCACCCCACCGCCGGCACTCGGATAGTAATCTTGGGCATAGCATTTTACCAAATCACCTCATTCTTTGGGGCACACGTGAGGAACACAAATGCGAACAAGCCTGAATGGTCCCCAGGACAATATGCAACTGAAAACTCACACCCCAGAAGTGACTCGAACCCATACTCCCAGAAGCAACGCAACTGGTATGTACAAGACGCCTTAATCCACTTGACCATCACGACCGGACAAAATGAGGTGATAGCCGAGGCTATTTGAACCACCCCACCGCCGGCACTCGGATAGTAATCTTGGGCATAGCATTTTACCAAATCACCTCATTCTTTGGGGCACACGTGAGGAACACAAATGCGAACAAGCCTGAATGGTCCCCAGGACAATATGCAACTGAAAACTCACACCCCAGAAGTGACTCGAACCCATACTCCCAGAAGCAACGCAACTGGTATGTACAAGACGCCTTAATCCACTTGACCATCACGACCGGACAAAATGAGGTGATAGCCGAGGCTATTTGAACCACCCCACCGCCGGCACTCGGATAGTAATCTTGGGCATAGCATTTTACCAAATCACCTCATTCTTTGGGGCACACGTGAGGAACACAAATGCGAACAAGCCTGAATGGTCCCCAGGACAATATGCAACTGAAAACTCACACCCCAGAAGTGACTCGAACCCATACTCCCAGAAGCAACGCAACTGGTATGTACAAGACGCCTTAATCCACTTGACCATCACGACCGGACAAAATGAGGTGATAGCCGAGGCTATTTGAACCACCCCACCGCCGGCACTCGGATAGTAATATTGGGCATAGCATTTTACCAAATCACCTCATTCTTTGGGGCACACGTGAGGAACACAAATGCGAACAAGCCTGAATGGTCCCCAGGACAATATGCAACTGAAAACTCAGTTGCTGATGGTCAAGTGGATTAAGGCGTCTTGTACATACCAGTTGCGTTGCTTCTGGGAGTATGGGTTCGAGTCACTTCTGGGGTGTGAGTTTTCAGTATATATATATATATATATATATATATATATATATATATATATATATATATATATATATATATATATATATATATATATATATATATATATATATATATATATATATATATATATATATATGCGAACAAGCCTGAATGGTCCCCAGGACTATATGCGAATGAAAACTCACACCCCAGAAGTGACTCGAACCCATACTCCCAGAAGCAACGCAACTGGTAACTACAGGGCGCCTTAATCCGCTTGACCATCACGGCCGTCAAAAGGAAGTGATAGCCGAGGCTATTTGAGCCACGTCCCCGACGGCAACTCGGATGGTAATCTTGGGCATAGCATTTCACCAAATCACCTCATTCTTTGGGGCACACGTGAGGAACACAAATGCGAACAAGCCTGAATGGTCCCCAGGACTATATGCGAATGAAAACTGACGGCCGTGATGGTCAAGCGGATTAAGGCGCCCTGTAGTTACCAGTTGCGTTGCTTCTGGGAGTATGGGTTCGAGTCACTTCTGGGGTGTGAGTTTTCATTCGCATATAGTCCTGGGGACCATTCAGGCTTGTTCGCATTTGTGTTCCTCACGTGTGCCCCAAAGAATGAGGTGATTTGGTGAAATGCTATGCCCAAGATTACCATCCGAGTTGCCGTCGGGGAAGTGGCTCAAATAGCCTCGGCTATCACTTCCTTTTGACGGCCGTGATGGTCAAGCGGATTAAGGCGCCCTGTAGTTACCAGTTGCGTTGCTTCTGGGAGTATGGGTTCGAGTCACTTCTGGGGTGTGAGTTTTCATTCGCATATAGTCCTGGGGACCATTCAGGCTTGTTCGCATTTGTGTTCCTCACGTGTGCCCCAAAGAATGAGGTGATTTGGTGAAATGCTATGCCCAAGATTACCATCCGAGTTGCCGTCGGGGAAGTGGCTCAAATAGCCTCGGCTATCACTTCCTTTTGACGGCCGTGATGGTCAAGCGGATTAAGGCGCCCTGTAGTTACCAGTTGCGTTGCTTCTGGGAGTTTGGGTTCGAGTCTCTTCTGGGGTGTGTGTTTTCATTCATATATATATATATATATATATATATATACCTTGAGGTGCTTCCGGGGCTTAGCGTCCCCGCGGCCCGGTCGTCGACCAGGCCTCCTGGTTGCCGGACTGATCAACCAGGCTGTTGGACGCGGCTGCTCGCAGCCTGACGTATGAGTCACAGCCTGGTTGATCAGGTATCCTTTGGAGGATTATATATATATATATATATATATATATATATATATATATATATATATATATATATATATATATATATATATATATATATATATATATATATATATATATATAGAACGCTGAATTGTAATGCCAATCCTGACCTTAAAGCTTCATTGAAGGTTGTAACAGAACCCATGAGAATCCAAGACTGCTAAATAAATATGAAGACCCGCTAAACACCGTGTATCTAATCTACTCAACAACGTAACATAATCGTACGTTACAACCTTTAAAGTACAGCTGGAAAAGATCATCAAGACAAATGGGGAGAGCTGTGGCCAGATTCACGAAGCAGTTACGCAAGTACTTACGAACTTGTACATCTTTCTTCAATCTTTGACGGCTTTGGTTACATTTATTAAACAGTTTACAGGCATGAAAACTTCCCAATCAACTCTTGTTATTATTATAAACAGCCTCCTGGTGCTTTGCAGCTCATTAACTGTTTAATAATTGTAAACAAAGCCGCCAAAGATTGAAAAAAGATGGACAGGTTCGTAAGTACTTGCGTAACTGCTTCGTGAATCTGGCCCCCGTTTGTGTTATATGACCTTTTGAAGAAATTTTCCGGATCAACATCCTCCAAATTGTTCAATATTTTGAAAGTTTCCATGAGATCTGCCCTGTCATGCCTGGTTTGCAATGTTGTTAGCCCTGTGGCCCTCAACCGTTCCTGATACGCGAGTTGACTTAGCTCTGGAATTAATTTTGTTGCCCGGTGTTAGGGGATATTAGACGAACTTATATAGTTAGCTTGTGATCTACACTCTGTAACCTTTCGTACAGAATAAGGTAGCAGCACATTGCAGTGTACACCTAAGCTTGTTAATAAAAAAAATTATTTTCGGTCAACCTTACGCAATAATCTGTGACTTTGAAGTTGGCGCCGTATTAGTCTTCAAGACAATATAGCTTGGACAAGTCTTGCACTAGGGGTTTTCCCCTTGCAAGAAGATTTGAGAGCTTTCATAGCAATTTAAATATGTATAATTCAATATAATGATTACAATAAATATTATTATACTAGAATTTACAATAAATATATACAAAAAAATGTGAGTGATGGTTTAGATAAAAGTGGGGCCGTGGGACCCCTTGAGTGTGGAGGTTTGTTTACAAGGAAGAGGCACGCGTGGCTGGAGTCTGCACCACTATTACTATGGCTATCAGGTGTCAGTTTGAGGGCTCCAATGAAATTGGGGTGTTTGCCAAGCTCACCAACTCCTTCTGCCTCGCCGGCATCGGAGCTTCAGCTAACTTTTACAGGCAAGTGATTCCGGGAAATACGAACGGTATAGCCACACCTCGGCGCTGCCTTGACATGTAATAGTAATTTGCTTTCAGAGCTTTAACAAACCCTGTCAGGTATCAGTTATTGGTATCGAGCTGAATAATGGAATGTTATAGGGCAGTTACCTTAATTAAAAGGCAGTTTACCTTGTGGCAAAGACCTGATGTAAATTGGTAGACCTGTAGCGTGGTGGGCCACGTCCTCTCCTTGCAACCGAAGGTCCCGGGCTCAATCACTTTGCTGAACAGAACCGGTTGGGCAAGTTAACTTTTACATGATGCCGCTGTTCATTTAACAGTAAAATATGTATCTGGTAGACAATTATTGTGGATGGCATCTTGGGAAGATTGGTAATTGGACCTCGGTAAGTCTTTAACTACAGACTTCCTGTCCTCAACAGTGGTAATTAAGTTATTTTAAACCAAAAGAAGGCCAGTATTATACAAACATCCATGTTATTATTTTGTGTTAGATTTGTTTAAATGGTAGTGATGACATTGCATGATGACTTGAGGCCTCCACTCCCATCATATTTCCATAAGTTTAGTCATAATGTCAAAAAATGTATAATTGTTTCATTTAATGAAGGCTTGAATATGGCTCATTGGAGGCGGCGGAAATGTTATTCTGATAATGGTTACGAAACCATGTATCCCTAATTGTTTAATTTCATAGATATTTCATAGAAAAACTTGTTAAAAATAGAGTTGTGGGCGTGAGAAAATCGATGGACCTGGTTCATTGATGCCATGACCCTACCTTTGATAAATAAGCTATAAGGGGCTGGATCCTGAGAAATACTGGCGATGAGGAAGAACTCTCTACAGACAGGTTTTCCTGATAGTTGTCGATCGTATGAAAAGTTGAAATTATAATTTTGCTCCTTTTGCTCCCTTCCTCGCCACAAGAAGGCAGTGCTCACAGTTGGAGTTTGACATGAATAATCTGTCTTAATAATCTAATCTTAAATGATCTTTAATTATACAGAATAGAGTTTTAGAGGAGAAAGTAAATTCAATGTTTATTTCAGCATCTTTGAGGAGCAGCTGAGTGATACAATTCCTGTTGTATTTACATCTGTAGCTGGATGTCGCATCATAGGATCCATGGTTGCAGGTAGGTACTGTACTGTACTTTATTTTTGTAAAGTTTGAAATATTTTCACAAAGTTATAGTATTCTTGCATTATATACCTTTTTTATTTTTTGAGAGAGTAATAAACACATTAAACATTAATTCTTTTGTTTTTTAAATGTATAGGTAATCGACATGGTCTGCTGGTGCCCAACACAACAACTGATACAGAATTACAGCACCTACGAGACCATCTCCCAGATAAAGTTAAAGTACAGCGGATAGAGGAAAGATTATCTGCTCTTGGAAATGTAGTTGTGTGTAATGATTACGTCGCCCTTGTTCATCCAGATATAGATCGGGTATGATCCTCGCAAGTTTTTTTGTACCAAGTATCTAAAGTTATTGATTTTGATGTTTGAAGATTAATTGTTTCAAATTATGATGTATTATTGGGGTACTACTATATTATGTCGTACAGTAATATAAATTTTCAGTGGGGAAGATACAGTATATCCTTTGCATGGTTTTTCTTCTTGGGCTACACTAGAATCCTTGTCCTGTGTCAAGAACAGGAAGTTTGCTGCTTGTGAAAGCTTCCCCCTTTTTCAATTTTGTGTGAAAATTTAACATGTCAAATTTAGTACTATCATTGCTTTCACAGCTTCAGTAGATAATCTATTATTTGCTCTTTTGAGAGAGAGAGAAAGAGAGATGTTTAGGTGAGGGATTTTTCCTTGATTAGAATGCACTTGTAATGAAAGGACTTTACCAAAATTAGTTTAGTAAGGATATGAATCCATGGGAGTTCATCTCTACCCAATTTTCCACTTTGAAAAGGAAGGAGGGTATCAGTCTGGAAGAAAAGCAAATAGAAAAACAAATCCAAAAAGACATTTCCACGTGACACGGCAAAGTTACCAGTCCAAATTGGCATTTCATCCATTTCTTACTTCGTTACATATCAATTCAGCACCAGAGAATCTGAAAACTCCCAGTCTGGACCAAAAGACCTTTATCGGCAGAAACCAAGAAGAACCATGAGGAGTTAGAAAGACAGGACAACCAGGCTCCACCTCTGGCACCTCCTCCCTTCCAACCCAGTAACAGCAGCAACTAAACAAGATACAGCAGAATGCAAGGTCGCCGTTGGAATCTCGCACAAGTGTCTCAGCTTTAAGCTCTTTTGGAGTAACCTTCAGAGTGGCCCCCCTGGAACCCTCCCCCCCTATCTTGACAACGAAAGCTACAAAGCATTAACATGCTTCAGAGCCCACAACAAGGAAAGAAAAAAAGAGCCAAGTGCACCATTCCCAAGGACCCTGACTCACCTAAAGGAGTGATGAACAGAGGCAGTAGTGTGTACTTATCATGCAATAACCCCTTTTGCTTGATCATTATTTTAGGTCTATTATAAGTATTGATGTTAGTTTGCACTTCAATGAGCTTGTGATCCGAGTATGTGGTACTGTATCTGAGATCATTGTCCCTGATCATTATGTCTTCATTGTTTGTGAAGATCAGATCTAGAATATTTTTGTTCCTAGTTAGCTCAGTTATCTGCTGGTTGAATAAAAATTTATCACGGAATCTAAGTAGTTCTCTATTCTGTGGTTGGTTATGTCCATATAGATTTCCCGGTATAACATTATCGTCTGCTATTCTCCATCTTAGACAAGGCAGGTTAAAGTCACCTAGGAAGATAATATCAGGTGTTGGGTTTGCCAAATCATAAAGGCTATTCTCTATTTTATTTATCTCTTCTGCGAGTTCCTCAGACATTGCATCTGGCAGTTTGTATTTTAGAATAATTAAGTTTACTCTCTATTTTTACTCCCAATACTTCTACCACCTCATTTGTAGTTAAGGTGCTCCGAACATACAAGGTCTTCTCTAATATTCAGACCTACTCCTCCATGTGACCTATTTACCCTATCACATCTGTATAGATTATATTCTGGTACAGACAGATCTCACTGTCCAAGAATTTCCCTGCATAAATTTTTGTGAAAGCTCCAAATATTGCATTTGACTCGGTGAGGAGGCCATTTATGAATGGTATTTTGTTTTTTTGCTCTTGTTTTTAGTCCTTGTATGTTGGCAAAAATGAATGAGGTGATGCTTTTTGGGGTGGTTTGACAGGGAGACCTTTTCTGGCAGAGCCATTATGGGTGGAAATATCTGATTTGTGCTGACCAGTACTGATTGTTGTTGGGTTGTTGCCTGTAGTAATTGTAGCTTTGTTGTGGGGTGTAATTGTGTTTGTGATTCTAGTATGTAACTGAATTTTTCATCCACTTTCATACATTCTCTCTGTTTCACCTTTTGAAACCTCTTTTGTCTGGGTATAAACAATTATTTGACTTTCCCCCAAAGCCATTTTCTTGTTTGCTACTGTTTATGTAGCATTCTGTGCCTTTCACATGAAAGTATGGGCAGCTGAGGTCATAGCATTTTCTGTCCTGAAGTGAGGTTTTGCACGTCAGGATGGGAAACCTACATGATCTAAAATGACATTTTTCTTTCCTAAACATATTTAAAAAAATTCTGGGATAGTAGCTGCATTCTAATCCTTTTCTATTTCCAGAACATCTTGTCTGCAAATGCCCTTTACATAAAATTTGCAAAGGTCTGTCCTTCTGGTCTGCCTCTATTGAGGACTGTTGAAGTATCTGTACCTACCTACCTACCTTGTGTAGTTTCCGGGGATCAACAGCCCTGCGGCTCGGTCTGCACCCAGGCCTCCTGGTTGGTCGTCTGGTCAGCCTGGCTGTTGGACGCGGCTGCTTGCAGTCTTGACGTATGAATCACAGCCTGGTTGATCAGGTATTCTTTGGAGGTGTTTGTCGAGTTCTCTCTTGAACACTGTGAGAGGCCGGCCAGTTATGCTCCTTGCGTGTAGCGGGAGTGTGTTGAAAATGCTTCGGCTCTTGATGTTGATAGTTCTCCCTCAGTGTACCTATTGCACCTATGGAACTGTCAGGTCTGTCTGTTAGTATTATGAGATATGCTGGCAAAGGAAACGGGGGATACCTTCAGTGTTGTAATGAGATAAAATCGTATTTTACTTTTTTTTAATTTAAGTGTATAATTCATTGATTGCTTTCAACTGAAAACTAATGTAAACAAGTGTACTTAGGAAATGCTTCTCCTAGTGGTAACTTGAGTTTAAAGATGATTAAGAACTTTTTGGTGAAATTTGACTCCCTGAGAGCGACCTTAATACAAAGGTGCACCGAAACTGTAACTTAAATGTTGTTGAATGCTAAGAGTCGTGAATTTATCCCCCTTAATGGTTTCACATGGGCTAAGCATAAATTAATTTTACACAGGAAACTGAAGAAACAATCCACGATGTGTTGCAAGTTGAGGTGTTCCGCCATACTGTAGCCAACAACGTTCTTGTTGGATCATATGCAGTGTTATCCAATCAAGGAGGCATTGTACATCCTTCTACACCTACCCAGGAGCAAGATGAACTCTCCATGCTCTTACAAGTTCCCCTCGTGGTAAGTCTTCATGTGCATAAATGGTGTTTGGTAATACAGTTATAGGTAAGTAAGTTTAACAGCACAGTGGCTGGGGGAATCTTCCCCTCCCCACCCCCTCCCACATAGTGCACACATAAAGCCATACACTGTCCTACAGAGGCTACTGTACAAATTTGAGAATCAGGTCAGAGTAATGGGTAAAGTGCATATTAGCTGAAGAACTACCTTACCAATAGGAAACAATAACAGTAGGTGAAATATTGAAATGGAATGTTTAGTAAGTTCTAAAAGTCAGTTCTGGGACCCATGGCATTCCTTGTTTATATAAATGATATAGCTGATTAAATACTCCTTTTGTGTTACTATTTGTTGATGATGCAAATTTAATGAGGATAATCAGAACAGGTAAGGATTACAGCACTACCAGGCTTCAGGATGATTTGGATAAGTTGCAGGCATGCTCAGACAAATGGCTAATGGAATTTAATCCAGATAAGTGTAAATTAATGAGAATGAGGACAGGAGTAAAGAGGCCAGAATAACAATATTTAATGAAGGGAGGAGTCTACCAAGCTCTGAGGAAAAAAAAAAAAGAGAGCTTATGAAGTAAACATAAGAGCAAATCTTATCTATGGAGGCACCACAAAGAATCACAAAGGCAGCATATATGTACTTCATCTTAGAGGAATTCATCATTTTTTTGTTTATTATTGTTTACTTCTTTTTCCAATAAGCAAAATTTTTCTATTTTTTAAGGCAACTTTTTATTTATAATAATTATTCCACTACAGTATTTTCATATGGTGAATATTTGTGATAGCCAGTTTCACTGTGGCACATAAAGCCTTAATGATAATTTGAACTTCCAAATAATGTCCGCGGTTGTTCAACGTCCTCCCAGCGACTATAAGAAATATTGCCGGAACAACCGTGGACATCTTCAAAGAGAAAACTAGACTGTTTTCTAAAAAATGTGCCTGACCAACTGGGCTGTAGTGGGTATGTGGGCCTGCAGGCTGCTCCAAGCAACAGCCTGGTGGACCAAACTCTCAAGTCAAGCCTGGCCTCAGGCTGGGCTTGGGGAGTAGAACTCCTCCTAGAACCTTATCAAGCAGGTATTTAATGCTGGGTTTACCTGTGATTTACTGCTGCACAGGATTGGGCTTGCGAAGGTTAGTGTACTAATAAATAATTGACAATAGTCAACTAAGAAAAATGTATTTTTCAGGCTGGCACAGTAAACCGAGGTAGTAATGCTTTAGCAGCAGGTCTTCTTGTGAATGATTGGGCAGCTTTTTGTGGTATGGACACAACAGCAACAGAACTCAATGTGATTGAGAGCATCTTCAAAATTAGTGATACTCCACAGTCTGCCATCTCTACAACCATGAGAAAAGCACTGATTGACAGGTTAGTCTGCTCCAATTATGGAAAAACGTGTGTGTGCGTGTGTAATTACCTAAGTGTAGTTCCAGGATGAGAGCTACACTTGTGGTGTCCCATCTTCCCAGTACTCTTTGTCATATAACGCTTTGAAACTACTGTACTGACAGTTTTGGCCTCCTCCACCTTCTCACTTAATTTGTTCCAACCGTCTACAACTCTACAAAAGAAGACTTTCTAATTTTTTCAGCACCTTTGTTTCCTTAGCTTGAATTTGTGTCCTCATGTTCTTGAAGTTGCTGGTTTCAGGAATCCTTCTTTGTCAGTTTGGTGGGTGGGTAATATTAATTTTCACTGCTTCTCTCTTGTTATTGGTATATTTAATAAAGAATTTAATTAGCCAGTTGATGTGGCCTAATCTAAGGCCTTAGATCATTAGGCCTTAAATCCATAGGTCTAATCTAAGATCCTGTGCCATACTTCTACTTTAAAAATAACAAAGAATGGCAGTCATTAGATACTGTATTGAGGCAGTTATTATAGATACAGAATGAAGAATGTTGGTCAGTTTCAAATATAAGTAGTGAGATTGCAACCTATGTTGTGGGTGTAGTGTTGACTGCTGTACAAAAAATGGAATTACAGTACACAATATGTTCTCAAACACTGCTCTTGTAGATCATTTAAATTAGTTTTCCTTTGTTGTAATTTTGGTTATAAGTCAACTAAATTCAATAACTACAATATTTGAAGTTACAAAAATTAGGAATTTATATGGGTGAATGATGGCAGAATGTACTGTAGCAAAGAGGAAGGTTGAGATGGGGGTATATGGTGACTGTGAACGACTCGAGATATTGTAAGAGACAAAACTATGTAAAAGTGTTTTGTAAAGAGGAAGTGAATTTATTTGGTATAATCAGTAATGTATATACTCAAGAGGATCACTGTACAGCTGATCCTAACGGAGTGTTGAGTTGCTGGTGTAGTGTGGGTAGTGCTTGTTTATCATGATGTTATACAGTACTGTGGTACTGTATTATGAGTTATATAATGAATAGCCAAGTGGTATTTTTAATTTCATGTTATTAATTATCTATAACCTTCCTTTGCTATACAGTATAACTTGATTCTTATATCCGAGTCAAAGTCTCCCCTTATAATGAAAGTGGGAAATGGGGAATTATGTATGATATGTGTGTTGATGTAACCTCTTGTAATATCAGCTACTGCCAGCTGACTGCAGTCTGCAAACCCATTGCTTACTCTTTCAGGTGGGAAGGTAAATCTTAGGATGGTTACTATGGGTGATATGGTATGAATATTTTAAATTGCCTCGTCTTTTGTCGTTTTTTTTATCTCGGAATTGCGAAGCAAAAGTGAAGGATGGCAGTAAGTCACAGAAGTCTCCTGTGACAGGAGTCACAGGCATAAAATCTTATAAAGGATCATGTCACCCTTTTTGTGTTGGCCTATGAAAAGTAGCACATGTATCTGGGGGGACTTTTAACTTTTTTGTACAAGGTGCAAGTTTTGGTTTGGTTCGGTTTCATAGGCAATATACTGCAGGTGTATTTTGCACCATTCAGCAATACTGTACTCTACAGTGGAACTTCAATATTCGTCATTAATCCATTCCTGAGGGCTTGGAGAATAGGAAACTGACAAATATGGAAAAAATTTCCCCATAAGAAATAGCTGAAATTTAATTAATTCATTTCTAGCCCCCCAAAAAAATACATAAATAAAAAAGTTGCTTTTTCACAGATGATAGATTCTAAACTGCTATCATCAGTCATCCATTATTCAGTAAACCACACCAATAACATTTCCAATCTGTTATAGGTGTGGATTACTGAAATACCTTCATATGTTGATCTACTAGCAGTAAAAAATTTTTTACACCTTTTGCCACAGCAGCCTTTTTAATTGCTTCCATATTTTTATTTATGCTGTTTATGGTAGCTCTTGGCATATTAAATTCTAAGGCTAAGTTGGAAACAGATTCTCCATTTTCAAACTTGGCAATAAGCTGTGAAAATCACAACTCAGTTGTGGTTTTCACAGCTTTCCTTTTGGTTGTTTTTCTTCACTATGTATTGTTAGGGCCAAAAAAAGAACAAAAATTCCCCTAGAAAAATTAGCAGATGTACACTTTATAACTGCACAAGGCTGATTGGGTGGGCTAGAGGACTGAGTGGCGATCCTGTACTGAGCGGCGGGTGATGAATATGGAAGCATATTTTGTCGTCAAAATGTGACAGATATGGAGGTTCCACTTTACTATACTGTATTTAAAAAGACCTTTAACACTGCAGTGTTTTTGGTTATTGTGAGTCAACTCTCATACTAGTAAATTTAGCATAAATTATTAAAAATTGGAAACTGTAACTATTGAAAATGAATAGCATCAAGGTCATTTGACTCCTCAATATTATCTTACTCAAATCATTGAAGGGAAGAAAATTATCAGGAGAAAGGGCTAGGCCAGTATGACAATATAGTTTAGAGCATTGATGATTGGCCAAATGTCTTCCATAAAAAATGCATGTCTGGGGGAGGCAATGCACAAGTACATTATTGTGTCTGGTAAAATAGTTGAATAATATACAACTATATATTTGGAGCTTTATTAAAAAAAAAGCAATAGATTCTGAATGTTTATTAAAATAAATAAAAAGTGTAAATAATTGAAGAGATTATATTATATATGAGTATTTATATTACGAGTTTAGGCTCTGTCGAATACTTTCTGTATTAGTATACACAAAGTATATACAAAGTATACATTGATATTTTCCATGGTGGAATTTTTGGTAGTTAGTAGGTATAGTATATTGACCAGACCACACTAAAAGGTGAAGGGATGACAACGTTTCGTCCAACGTTTCCATCGACTTGAGAATGGTCCAGGACGGACTGAAACATCGTCGTCCCTTCACCTTCTAGTGTGTGGTCTGGTCAACATACTTTAGCCATGTTATTGTGACTCATTGCCTGCATAGGTATAGTATAGATATTTTTTATAAAAGATTCTAATCCAGTGTTGTTTTCTCTCTTTCCAGTATGACATAAATTCTCCAGGGCATCTGCCATTTCAACATGAAAGGACAGGAAAGAGGTGAAAGTTGAAGACAATTGTTATTATACAGTATAAGTTTTGTTTTATTTCTTAATTTTCATGTTTCCTTGCATGGGTGTGTTATATCTATACTGTAATTGTATTTTTGTTGCATACAATGACTGGCTTACAGAAGCTGATGTCTTAACCTCATGGAGAATGAAGCATTGTTTCATGGCACATTCTTGGTTATTAGTGCAAGAATGTGGCTACTATAGATGTATCATGTTTTAGCTGTGCAATGGCACGTGTAGTAAACTGTAGGTGGATGTGGCATACAAATTTTCCCCTCAAAAACAGACTGACTGAAGTTTGTCAAAAATTAATTATAATATTTTTTGAGCATAAAATTTTGCAAGTTTTTTATTTTTATTTTTGTTTATATTTAGTATTTTTTCAATTAATATATAATTTTAACATTGTATTGTTATTTAATATGCATTCAAATATAAACTGTATGATAGTCAGAAGTGGTATTATTTCCCGATGTGCAATTTACTCAAGATTTTGAGCAATTTTAAAATAATGACAACACGTTGATAAGTAGCCAATCGATGTTGCTTAGTCGTGGGGGGATAGCTTTTTTCTTTAGATTTCATTGCTTACTTTTTGATTGAACAAATCTTCCTAGATTTTTTATTTTTAGGAAAGGGAGTTTTGGGAGTGGGATTAATTTAGCTGCATCTTTTGTAGGCAAAGGAGCATTTGCACTCACTTCCAGGCAGTTGAAGGTGTTTTCTAGTGTTGTTGCCTGGTGGTGTGGTAGGCAGCTAAGAATGTCTATCGTAGGCTTCCCATTTTGGTCGTTGGTCTGCCCACCTGAAGGGGTTGTCTGTGTAGATGAAATGAGTTTCTGGGCCTAGGTGCATGGGGTAAGAGCATTTTTGCACCAGTGAGCAAATTTGTGTTTTAGTCTCTCACCCTATTAAAAAGGGAAGCTGTGCTAAGAATGGGGTACTCCATACTGTATTGCTTTATGCTTGCTTCTTTAATAGAAGGTATCCCATGGTTACCTGTTTTGCCCCTCGCTTTATGGAGACGTCATTCTCACTCTTTGGGTTCTGGTGACCAGGCCCAAAGCTGTATGTGCTGTCCTTCCTGACAATCCTCTCCCACAATTTGGAAATGTTAGAGGGATAGATTGTTAGCTATTTGGAAAAACATATTGCATGTACCATCAGATGACTCGACACCTTGGTCTTCCTCCTGTCACCAGAGAGGAAATTAGAAATATCCCTGGCTTTCTAAAAGAAGTGGGAAACATCTTGGGGGTCAGTTACCTATTGGTTACACTAATTTGTGGTCACTTAATAGAACAAGACCTGTGCCATACTCAGAACTGCATTGTTCCTCAAACCGTTAGACTTCTTGTAGACTGTTCTGATTTTCAAGATGGTCAGTACAGGTAGTTCTGTCCAGGAATGTTCCTGTATTGTACCAGCATACAGATTTGCTAATATAACTATTCTTTCTTCCTTCAGTTACTTGATTATAACTAATTTGTAAGTCTTGGGAATGAAACGTTTAATACATGGTCTCTTTCAGCACATTTGGCACCCAACAAATTAACTTGTTCATTTACACAAAAATCGAATATGGAAAACCAACAGGAACTTGATTACACTTATCTGATTAACATTTACACGATTCTCTATATTTTGTCAACAGTCCCTGCTGTCTGCCTTTTTCTACAATTTTGTAATGCAGCACTCGTGTCAGAAGCTTGATACTATAACAATGACAGTAATCATGGTTCTCAACCCCTAAATATCCTTCTTTTTTGCCCTAAAATGCATTACTCACATTTACAGTGTATACTGCACCTGCTTTGCCATTAGTTGACTTAATTAACATAGCCATCAGTGTAGATTTTATCTAATTTCCTGCTGCTCTAATAATTTTCTAAAGATGTTATTTTGTGGTAACGTACATTTAGTTATTTAAAAGTACTGTACTGGTAGATACAATAAGTTATTCTATTACACACTTTGGTAATCAAGTGGTACATTCTTGCAAAGTCACTAATGCTGAGAATTTCAGACTTTTGTATGCATCATTTTGTATGCATTTTATATTAATGTTAGGTGGTTCTTCCTTCCAAAGAAGTACTAACTCGCAAACATGTTAGTAGGTGGAATTCTCTGAAGGAAAATTCGGGGAAGTAACATAACTATTCAATATATTCATTTTTGTACTCTATATGGTTGGTAGCAAGCAGTTGTTGGAGGTAGGCGACCTGGCACTCCTTCTTCTGCAGCTCCTCTTCCACTGCCAATCGATGCTGCCGTTCCATTTGCACCCGCTTCTCGCACACCCGCCGGGCCTGCACAAACATAGCTGCGAAACCCATGACCAAGCTTCATTATGAATTGCCAAATTTTACTCTATTGTTGACATTATAACAAAAATTACAAACTACTAGTACTAATTTGAAGTCTTAGAACTCGAGACTACTGCCTTTAATATGAACTTTAGAACAATTAAAATTTGGTGATTAATAAATTTAAGACATTAATCTAGTGTATACAAATAATATTCTAAGATCACCCCATATACCAGTTATATCTTGTGGAGTAAACGGCGTGTTAATGTAACCAAATAAAAAGGGAAAAGGCAAATACAAGAGATGGGTAAAATAGTCTGGCAGAGACTAACCAAAGGAGAAAAAAAACCTTGTACTAGACAAAAGCAATCATGGTGACAAGGCAGTGAAGACAATTGTCTGGGAAGCCAGTGAGCCGCTCTTCCACGTTTGAGCCATGTCCTCGGTACAATGTGTGTCTTTCTTGATCTGAATTTGCATCCTGGTTGTCAAGACTGCATGTACAATATTATGATCATGCTTACCGAGGGTGTTCCTTGATCATATCTTACGATTATACTAAATAAGTTAGATAAATAATTCTGGTTTCTAATTTTGTATCTTAAACTGACCCAACTCATTAACCCAAATTTGTACCCTAATTATATGCATCTATGCAAATTGTCTCCAAGTGATCTCTGGGACATTTAAAAGAAAGGTACCATAACACCTCCAGTAGCCAATGATACAAAAAATGGCTTGAAAGTTCTTGCACACAAACAACTAGTACTTGCAGCCCCTACAAGTCACCAATCACTCCCTCAAACCTCTCATTACCCATCATGCTCACCATTCAAGCTGTCCTTACCACTTGGGCTGGACAGTAGAGCGACGGTCTCACTTCATGCAGGTCGATGTTCAATCCCCAGCCGTCCAAGTGGTAGGGCCTCATTCCTTTTCCCCCATCCCATCAAAAATCCTTATCCTGAACCCTTCCAAGTGCTATATAGTATAGTCCTAATGGCTTGGCACTTTCTCCTGATAATTCCCTCCTTCACCATTCAAGCTCTGCACACTTCTGCTTGTGCTGTCTACATCTTCATAGTATCTGTACTGAGTGGCTAACTCTGACTTAAAACTCTTAGACTGATTTAACAGTATATTTGGTCATCACAAGAAATAAGAATCTCTTTGATGACTTGGGTAAAAAGATAAAATATGTTGTGCAGAATTTTATGTATATTTATTCAAGTAAAATATATGCTGACTATACATTAAGTGTATTGATACATGGCATAGCATTTTTATAACATATGCTAATACCGTATATGTATTATTGATATAGTATAACGATTAACATAATATATCATGCATGTTGACTACTATGTATTCTGACTACATATATTGTGTATCCTGTCAAATATGCCATATGTGTGTGTGTGTGTGCGTATACCTACAGTATCACTCACCGTTCTGTATCCTGACGACTCGCCAAAGTCTGAGGATGATGATGAGTCCCAAGCCAGAGTGGGCATCATGGGAGTGAAGGTAGACTGCATCAAGGCACAGTGCCACACTCACCACCAACCCGTCAAACACCTCTGCCTGCAACACAGCACTTGGACGGCATCCTAACAAAACCATTGCAAAGGAATTCAAACTGCAACAGACCATTATATGTTAACTAGAAAGTTTTGTTTATGGTAATTTTATTGTTATACGAGCAAGTTTTGGTTTGGAGGAGACGTACAGTTCTTGTAAATTCTGCTTTTAAATGTATGTAAAATATTACACTGAATTTTATAATTTAGTAAGCTGTTCCATATGTTTACTATTCAATTAGAGGAAAAGTATTTTGCTGCATTTGAGTAAAAACTTTCGCTTGTAACATTACAAGCTATTATTTTGTGGTTAAACATTGCTAAATTAAAATATTTTTTTCCGGATCCAGAGTATCATATCCCTTAATGATCGTAAATACCTGTACTGTATTAAATTACTTCTCAAGACTGAATAAATTTAGTATGTTGTTGACTGACACAAGAGTTCCTAATATCTCTTCTAGAGTACGATGACCAAAACTCTAATATTCCAGAATAGGACATACTAATGAACTGTACACAGTGAGAATAACTTTTTCAGATCAAAATTCAAAGGATTTTCTAATGAAACTACATATTGTGTCCAAATCAAGAAAAGTCTATCAACTTGGTACATGATCATCTATACTGTACCATGTGGCATTTTTTAAAGTAGTCTTCGATAAGCAACTTTATCAAATGCTCTCTGAAAATCCAGATAAATAATGTCAACCAGTTTTGCTATCACTGAACATACTAAAAATGATATAACAGAAATAAAGGTTAGTCGAACATAGATTTCTAAAAAAAAACCATGCTGGTAACATCTTAATTAGATGGTACCTCTATATGATATCTTCTCTAAGTACAGTAGTATCTAATTATTGGTTAGTATCTAATTATTACAAGGTTTCACTTCTCTTTTTATTTATGTATACAAGAGTTCTTACATTCTTGTACAGCCACTAGTATAGCATTCCGGGCAAGTCCTTAGGACTTGCCCGGACTTGCCCCGGACAATTAGGACTTAATCCTAATTTTCCCCGGAATAAAACCTGCCAAATCGTTAACAACCAGGTACCCATTCACTACTTGGTCTGAGGACGGGCTGGTGAGTCGTGTGTAAACCATTTTTCATTCATAAACGGGGTTTGGCAGGTGCATGGAATGGCCTTTTGTTTATGAGAACAGGCTGCTGGTGGATTACGGTGGATCACGAGGTTGGAAAAACTCACCGCCCAACGTGGGGCTCGAACCCACGACCCCGAGATTAAGAGTCTCGTGCTCTACCGACTGAGCTAGCCGGGCTTATTTGAACTCAGCTAGTCATTAAATAAAATGCGGCTGGATAAGTGTGGTCCAAGAGCTGAAGCTCAGTCCTGTTGTTACAAATAGGTGAATACTTACTCATTTATATTGGTATTGTGTGTGTGTCTAAATAAATGGGCAAATAGGTTTCCCGTATGGCCGCACCTTGTGGGAGAGCAACTCCATCCTGAATGTGAAGATCTTGAGTAGCAACTCGAGGAAAAAGAGGACGAGGAGAGCGAGGGAGAGGGCGTGGAGGACCAGTGGAACCGGAGAGTCCTTGGTGTGCTCCCCGAGGTCCAGCAGCAGCTGTCCCACCACCAGTATCGCGTCCACCACCACCAGCACCACCACCGTCACCTGCCGGGGACCACCACCACCACCACCAGGGGTGCCTGGGTTAATATGGCTACCTTCTCACACACTCTCCAGTTCTCACTCCCTGCCACCACAGCCACTATCATCACTATCAGACAGTTATTTCGCCGCCACCACCGTCATTCTCATCGCTATCATCACTACCACCATCATCCTCGATCATCACTATCATCACCACTATCCCCCATCATTTCCATCGCTATCATCACCATCCTCATCACTGTCATCATCACCATCATCCTCATCACTATCATAACACAGTACACAGTTACAAACCCATTAAGATTTCAACTGAGATTCAACAGAGCAGAAGCAGTTGTTAAACACATAGAACAAAATCTCACTGAAGCGACCACACGAGTCATAAATACTGACACACCGCCTAATTATACAGACACAAGTAACACTTAGTGGGCCAGCCAGAGGCTTGGGGCCCGCGCAGGAATATCCCTGAAAAAAAAAATCATCACTATTACCATAGGGAGCCGGTCGGACGAGATCCCTGGGTTCGATCCCAGGCGCCGGCGAGAAACAATGGGCAGAGTTTCTTTCACCCTATGCCCCTGTTACCTAGCAGTAAAATAGGTACCTGGGTGTTAGTCAGCTGTCACGGGCTGCTTCCTAAGGGTGGAGGCCTGGTTGAGGACCGGGCCGCGGGGACACTAAAAAGCCCCGAAATCATCTCAAGATAACCTCAAGATAGATCCTCCTCATCTCTCTCATCACCTAGTATCATCACGCCCATCAGCAGAAAGAGACACGGAGAAAAATCCACCTCAAATCAATATATGATATTACTGATTCCTTTACAGTTAATTTACGGCTTCGTGAACACTAGGCTTACACTGATTCAATTGTCAAGAGGCTGGAACAGCCTGCATGTAAGATTACCTTGAGGTTAACGCTCAACGTCACCGCGGCCCGGTCATCGACCAGGCTGTTGGACGCGGCTGCTCGCAGCCTGACGTATGAATCACAGCCTGGTTGATCAGGTATTCTTTGGAGGTGTTTGTCACGTTCTCTCTTGAACACTGTGAGGGGGTCGGCCAGTTATGCCCCTTCATGTGTAGTGGAAGCGTGTTGAATGTCTCGGGCCTCTGATGTTGATAGAGTTCCCTCTCAGATTACCTATTGCGAAAGGTGTACAAAAGCAATATGCACACAGGTTGCTAGTGTAAGACTAAACAACTGGTTCAGCTCCACATTTGCGAGGGCAGCGGCGAGGGCAGGCGGAGTGAGGCAGAGCCCCAGTGTGCGCCCGTATTTATACAGGCCCCAAACTGCCCGCGCAACGCCGCGGGACGCGCTGCGCAATTGTTTCTTTCTCCCCCGCCAGAAAAATCCCCGCTTGCGATCAAGCAGTGACCATATTTTTTCTGTGATTCAAGGTCAGGTCTTCAATCACTTAAAGACACGAGGGACAAAATAGATACTGGTATTATTACTGCTGTAGCATACATTATACGAAATATAATGGATGTGTTTAGAATGTGTAGGAGAACGTGTCACCTGACAGGGTGTGGAGGTGAGTGTGTGTGTCACCTGGTAGGGTGTGGAGGTGAGTGTGTGTGTCACCTGGTAGGGTGTGGAGGTGAGTGTGTGTGTCACCTGGAAGGGTGTGGTGGTGGGTGTGTGTGTCACCTGGCAGGGTGTGGTGGTGAGTGTGTGTGTCACCTGGAAGGGTGTGGTGGTGGGTGTGTGTGTCACCTGGCAGGGTGTGCAGGTGAGTGTGTGTGTCACCTGACAGGGTGTGCAGGTGAGTGTGTGTGTCACCTGGAAGGGTGTGGAGGTGAGTGTGTGTGTCACCTGGAAGGGTGAGAAGGTGAGTGTGTGTGTCACCTGGAAGGGTGTGGAGGTGAGTGTGTGTGTCACCTGGAAGTGTGAGAAGGTGAGTGTGTGTGTCACCTGGAAGGGTGAGGAGGTGAGTGTGTGTGTCACCTGGAAGGGTGAGGAGGTGAGTGTCACCTGGAAGGGTGTGGAGGTGAGTGTGTGTGTCACCTGGAAGGGTGAGGAGGTGAGTGTGTCACCTGGAAGGGTGAGGAGGTGAGTGTGTGTGTCACCTGGAAGGGTGTGGAGGTGAGTGTCTTCCTTAGACGTTCTCTTATGTCTGTAAGCGGTCTCAGGTCCGACCCATCCGAACTATTCGATTTCTCGCTTCGCGTCTCCCAAACTTCAGGCGACTTCGTCTCGCTGGGAGGGTCCTGGGTGCTGCTGGGGTCCTGGATACTGCTGGGAGGGTCCTGGGTGTCGCTGGGAGGGTCCTGGGTGTTGCTGGGAGGGTCCTGGGTGTTGCTAGGAGGGTCGTGGGTGTTGCTGGGAGGGCCTTTAACGTTACTGTTGGGACCCTGAACGTTACTGGAAGTATCCTGAATGCTACTTGAAGCACTTTGGATGTTACTGGGAGGGTCCATGTTTTGATAGTCAACCATTTTTTCCAGTATCTGTCAAAATTTGGTAGTTTTGATAATATGCTTCATACAGATAGAGGAGTGAACAAATACACCCAACTACTGTGCCCAGAGAAACACAGTACCCTAAACTCAACGTGTACTGTGGGGAATACATTATTACACTCAAGGGGTATACAGTACAAGTGTACTACTTAAATATAATAAGCATATATATAAGATATAATACAATACAATACAAGTACACAAAGTTAGTTAGTTGTACTTAGTTAAGTAAACAAAGTTAGTTGTACTTAGTTAAGTACACAAAGTTAGTTGTACTTAGTTAAGTACACAAAGTTAGTTGTACTTAGTTAAGTACACAAAGTTAGTTGTATTTAGTTAAGTACACAAAGTTAGTTGTATTTAGTTAAGTACACAAAGTTAGTTGTACTTAGTTAAGTAAAAAAAGTTAGTTGTACTTAGTTAAGTACACAAAGTTAATTGTACTTAGTTAAATACACAAAGTTATTTTGATGTACTCAGTTAAGTACACAAAGTTATTTTGATGTACTTAGTTAAGTACACAAAGTTATTTTGATGTACTTAGTTAAGTACACAAAGTTATTTTGATGTACTCAGTTAAGTACACAAAGTTATTTTGATGTACTCAGTTAAGTACACAAAGTTATTTTGATGTACTTAGTTAAGTACACAAAGTTATTTTGATGTACTCAGTTAAGTATTCTCCCTACAATACAATTAAGTACACTCCCTACAATACCTCGAGTCCTACCTTACTGACAGGCTCCAATATGTTTCTGTGAATAATACAATTTCTCCCACCCTACCCATCAACATTGGTGTTCCTCAGGGCAGCATACTTGGCCCTCTCCTCTTTCTCATCTACATTAATGACCTTCCAAATGCCTCCCAACACCTCAAACCAATTCTATTTGCTGACGACACAACCTTCATTTACTCCAGTCCTGACCCTCTTGCTCTAAATGCCACAGTAAATACTGAGCTAAATAAAGTCCATCTTTGGCTAACTGCCAACAAACTCACCCTTAACATTGACAAAACTTTCTATATTCTGTTTGGCAATAAATCCTCTAGTCATATAAATCTCAAAATAAACAATACCCAAATTTGTAACAAATTAGATGGCAAATTCCTTGGCATTCTCATTGACCACAAGCTGAATTTCCAGGGACACATTCTAAATATATCAAAAAAAGTTTCAAAAACTGTGGGCATTCTTTCTAAGATCAGATATTATGTACCACGCCCTGCCCTGGTGACTCTCTATTACTCCCTTATCTATCCTTATCTCAACTATGGTATTTGTGCTTGGGGTTCTACTACCCAAAATCACTTACGTCCTCTAATTACCCAACACAAAGCTGCTATTAGAACAATATCCAACTCTGGCCCCAGACATCACTCGGTACCCATACTCAAATCTCTGAATATGTTAGATATTAAGTCACTGCACATTCTCTCATGTGTATTATACATATATAAAACGCTAAGCTATAATGCCAATCCTGATCTTAAAAGCTTCATAGAAGGTTGTAACAGAACCCATGAGCACCACACCAGAAATAAATACAGTTTTGATATTCCTAGAGTACGTCTTAATCTAACTAGAAATGCTCTGCAAATCAAGGGGCCCAGAATGTGGAATGACCTTCCCAACCATGTTAAAGACTGTACCTCTCTCAACCAGTTTAAGATAAAAACTAAACACTACCTAATAAATTCCCTGTAATCTACCTCACTCCTCTATTGTCAACCCATGTCTGTTATTTTCTTTTTTTTTAATCAACACTGTTTGTCAACCTATTGTATTTGTGCTGCTTTTTCAGTCATGTTCCCCCTTTTTTTATCTTTATTTGTATTTGTTCTCAACACTTTTTATTCTTTATGCTCAATTAGTATTAAGTTCTAGATATTAATGTTTTTCTTGCCCGAAACGCATTGCGTAATAGTGGCTTTAGGCATTGTATGTACTAGCTCTATCTATATATCAATCCATTAATGTAACATCACTTGTATGTATATACCTTACCTGAATAAACATCTGAATCTGAATCTGAAAGTACACAAAGTTATTTTGATGTACTCAGTTAAGTACACAAAGTTATTTTGATGTACTCATTTAAGCACACAAAGTTATTTTGATGTACTTAGTTAAGTACACAAAGTTATTTTGATGTACTTAGTTAAGTACACAAAGTTATTTTGTTGTACTTAGTAAAGTACACAAAGTTATTTTGATGTACTTAGTTAAGTACACAAAGTTATTTTGTTGTACTTAGTAAAGTACACAAAGACCAAACGTAACCTAGCGCTCCGTGGAGTATCCACTGGGGAACACACACTAACTCACTGCTCCTCTCGCTCTTATCATCATATTAACCTTTACTTAAATGTTCGCACTAATCGCCCTTAATTTAATTCCGGCCACCAAACTGTCATATTCCCCAACACTTTCTTCTCCTTCACCTCGCCTTATAAGCCCCTGGGGAGGAGACAATAGAGATATATAACATACCTTGAACAATGTGTGTGTGGGGGCGGTCTCTCCCGACCGCCATAATGCCGCCCTCCACATCCGGCTTCCAACACTTTTATTTATTTATATAATTATTTATATATATACAAGACGGTACATTGGGTTTATGAGAGTACATAGCATTTATAATTTTGCATTCTTGTAAAGTCACTAACACGTATAGCGTTTCGGGCCGGTCCTTATAATCTAACATAATTTGAAGTAGGTAATTTGTAGCAAAATTATATCTACTCATTGAAACTACAAGATACCATAGAGAGGCAAGTTTTCTCTTCCAGCGCCTCAGCGTAGCGATCCAGAGGGGGAATGTCCTCGGTGGTTCCTGCCCGGCGACGGAGGAGTTCGAAGAAATCTACAGCCTCTAGAAAACAAGCTTTCCTTTATTTCCATATATAACTGTGAAACCATGTTCAATAAAGTGTACAACATAAATAATAAAAAGGGGGAAACAGCAAAATCACTCAAGACAGGCGACTGGAAGGTCAATACCTCTTTGTTCCCATAGCGTCTGAGACGCATGGCCCCTGGGGCAAGAGTGCCTTGGGATTTCTCAAGGAATTGGGTTCCAAGCTCATTGACGTCACCAGAGACCCAAGGGCTTCCAGTTTTTTGTTTCAACGCCTTAATGTGGCGATCCAGAGGGGAAATGCTTGCTGCGTCCTCGGTTCCTGTCCGGAAGCGGAGGAGCTTCAATAGATCCATAACCTTTAGGCATTTCTCTTGTATGTTTTGTAACCTTTAAATACACAATAAAGCAAAAAAAAAAAAAAAAAAAAAAAGGAAGGGGGTGGTAGGAGAAAAGCACACAGAAACTGTATTGGAGGGGACCTACATTCCCTGCAATGCGTTATGTGTGGTTTCCTCCGAGGCTATGGGTTTCCTCTGGCTTCTTCCAGCCAGAGGTGGTACTCCCTTCTCTTTTGAAAAAAAAAAAACAAATATATATATATATATATATATATATATATATATATATATATATATATATATATATATATATATATATATATATATATATATATATAGGAGTACCACCTTTGGTGCAATTGTAGGGACCCATAGCCTCGAGGAAGAAAATAAAGAGTATTCAAAGAAGACCTTGTAGATTCCCACTAAACACTTTAATATTTTCTTCTCTTACCACCCCTATTCTTTTTTTATTATTGATTTTATTTTATTACATTGTTACAATTTATAGAAAACACACACATATATAACAATCACTGTTCGAAGACCTCATCCAGCTCTTTGGAGGTGGGGTGCGTGCCCAAGAAACATTAAGTATTTTCTCTCTGGATCATGACACTGAGGTTCTGGAATAAGAAACTGGTCGCTCTTGATTTTCTAGTTTGCTAATGAGTTCCTTACTTTCCTCCTTTAGGAACTTGAGTGCACATTTACCCTAGGCGCCCAGAGTCTCAGAGCCTATCGGCACGAACCTGTAACAACGTTCTAGGTCCCTGTACTTTTTAGTTTTCTGGGTCTCCCTGAAGGTGGGTGCCCAGCGTCTCTCAGCTGTACTGTGAGGTAGATAGGTATCAGCCAATGGAGATGCACACGTGTAGTCCCACACGACCTGTCTACCATTCCTCCATGGCTGCAGGGTGACTCCATCTGGGTGTTTGTGACTGTTGTCAGGTCTGCACAACTGAGGTTCCCTTTGTGCTAGACACCCAGCTGTAGACAAACTTCTCTTGATGATGTTATTGACTGCTTCATGTCTGGCAATCTATCCCTGTGACTTACGACAGATGAGACCATGGCTGCCGTATTGGTCCGCCCGTGCATAGCCGCTGATACACCGGTGTTTGGAGGAGATAGAGGCGGCAAGGCGCAAGGCAATACCACCACTACTTAAGGCCCCGGTGGTTCAGACGGTTGCCCAAGGCAGAATTAGGGACTGCCAACAGGAAATCCCCGGCATGGGGAGCTTGTACAGTCCGGAGGCGGGCCTTGTCCTTCCCTGAAGCTGCCTCAAACAATGTTGTGACAATGTTCTCCACTATGGGGCTATCTCATTTGTCCTGTTTGCAGTCGTTTGGAAATGTTGGTCGAGGTTGAGAGTTGGCAAGATTGTCTCATTGGCCGGCTTCGTCCGCAAATTTGGGATCATTAATCCCAATGGAGTCTCTTAGGTATTTTGGTAGTATTTCTTTCACTAATTCATCTGTTGCACTGGTCGAGGATAAGAATGCCGGCAATGCTAACTGTGTCGCCTTGCGAATACCTATACCCCTGAGTCTAACTGGGAGCGTTGCTTAGTCCCACTGGTCATCTTGCGGGGAGAGGTTTAACACTTTCATGGTTATTGACTTTAGGAGTGCGTCATATTCTGTTAATTTTGAACAGAATATAACCCTGGGCAAAGCCAGGCACCTTGTGAGGAGGTACAAAGCATCATGGGCATCCAAAGCCCCTATTCTTCCCTCATCTTCCTTCAGATCGTTCAGCATTTCTTCGAAGATTATATCTATATATATTCTATATATAGTATATGTTCAGTATGTATAAAAAGAATAGGGGGTGGAAGATGAAAATATTGAAGTGTTCAGTGAGAATCCACAAGGTCTTCTCTGAATATTCTTTATTTACTTCTCCGAGGCTATGGGTTCCTACAATTGCACCAGAGGTGGTACCCCCCCTATATATATGTATATACAGTATATATTAATTATTATTATTTACTCAGGCATTAACGAGTGCGCAGTTCCAGTAATATTTACCCCTAAAACATTTAACTACCTTAAAGCTTTAAAATTATCATATAATATAAAAAAAATCATGCATTATGTCGAATGTATTTCTTTGATTCAAATAAAGTTAATTTGTCCAAGTAAATTAAAAGGAACTACCTTTGTTCATATTTCTGAAGAACTGAGGGATCAAGTAGAAGTTAGAGAATAACAAAGGCCGCGTCTTATTCGAAGGGAGTTGGAGTTTAACTTATATTTTAGTAATTATCTCTTACATTTCTGTAACAAATATATTATTGTTCATCTATATTAGCACATTCTCCAAAAGGGTCAAATCATTATTAATTCATGAGTTGCCAATTACGTAATAAAACAAGATAAATGTTCACATTAAGGAACATTTGGCGCGTATTTTGTGATGTTAAGAATAATTAACATAACATTTTGTTATGTTAATTATTTGACATGTACTCGAGGTGCCGGTTAGTGCCTGAGTGGCCAGTGGCAGCGCACTCGGGAGAAGAATTTCCAGATTACATGTTACTGAAGGATCCAAAAATTAGCTCCCTCTATGATTGAGTATGCAAGAATGTCTCGACCTTCGGTTCACCGAATTCATGTTAATTTATGCATTTTAAGGCCAGGTTCGATTAGGTTATTCACAACTTGGCCAGATCATTTAGCCATGCCTTTCTAGACTTTGTGTGAAATAGATAAGGTAAAGGTAATTATCAGGAGAAAGCACTAAGCCTTCACGACTATACATGCCTAGTTGCGCTTGCGAGGATTGAGCTTTGGCTCTTTGATCCTGCCTCTTAACTGTCAACTGGTGTACAGGTTCCAGAGCCGACTAGGCTCTTATCATATCTACATTTGAGAATGTGTATGGAGTCAGCCTCCACAACATCACTGCCTATGCATTCCATCTGTTGACTACCCTGACCCAGAAAATATTCTTTCTAAGGTATCTATGGCTCATTTGGGTACTAGGTTTCCATTTGTGTCCCCTTGTTCATTTTCCACCCATGCTAAATAGTTTGTCTTTGTCCATCCTGTCAATTCCTCTAAGAGTTTTGTAGGTGGTGATCATGTATCCCCTTGCTCTTCTATCTTCCAGGGAAGTTATCTGCCTTAAGATTACCTTGAGGTATGTTCAGGGCTTAGCATCCCTGCGGCCCAGTCATAGACCAGGCCTCTTGCTGTTGGACATGGCTGCTCGTAGCCTAACGTATAAGGCACAGCCTGGTTTATCAGGTATCCTTCGGAGGTGTTTACCGAGTTCACTCTGAGGGCTCTGAGAAACTGAGGGATTGGCCAGTTATGTCCCTTATATATAGTAGAAGCGTGTTGAACAGTCTCGGGCCTCTGATACTGAGGGATGTGAGGGTTAGGTCCCATAGCCGTTCCTCTTCACTCATACTTCTCACTTCTGGGACTAGTCTGGTGGCATACCTTCGAATCTTCTCTAACTTTGTCTTGTGTTTAACTAGGTATGGACTCCAGGCTGCAGCTGCGTACTCCAGGATTGGTCTGACGTAAGTGGTATACAAGGTTCTGAACGATTCCTTACACATGTTTCTAAAGGCAGTTCTTGTGTTGACCAATCTAGCATATGCCGCTGATGATATCCTTTTGATGTGGGCTTCTGGGGACAGGTTCGGTATGATATCAACCCCCAGATCTTTCTCCCTATTTAACTCTTGCAGGATTTCACTTCCCAGATGGTACCTTGTGTTTGTTCTGCTTCCTTCACCTAATTTCATTACTTTACACTTTCCTAAAATAAACTTTAGTAGCCATTTTCCAAACCATTCCTCCAGTTTGTCCAGGTCGTCCCGTAGTCTCTGTGCACTTGGAATGATTGTAGGGTAAGGGATTTAGGATAGGATGGGGGATATGTCTACTGTGTCTACTGCAAATGTGTCTACTGCTAATATTCACATCAGGGTATTTGGTGTACCAATGTGGTGTTGGCCTTTTGCTACAGTATTTGCTAGATGTTCTGCAGCCACACCACACTTGTGTGGCACTTAGATGCTGTTGATGCTTCTGTCTTCTCACATGAGTAAAATATTCCACATATTTTCTGGTTATAAATATCAGATATTCCTTTTCAGCAAAACCATTTTCCTCTCTGAGTGACCATTGCAAATAAGCATTGGAAAGCTACTGAAAAAGCCTTCCCAGAAATCAAGAGTTTAATATAATGAAATGCCATTTTCTGGTGGCTCTCCATCCCCAAGCCAGTCTTTCTTTCCTTGTCATTTTGGGTTATGTGATTCTATACTCATGAGTGAGATGGCTGATGGAGTGGATCCCGAGTGACCTGGTCTCACTAATTGGGGCTAGGATTGTATACCTTCATCAAACTACAGTTTGCCTTGTTTCTATTTTTTAATGTTTGCTTTCAAGCATTTTTTGGGTGATTTCATCAGTTTTGGGTAGATGTGTTATCACCAAGACTCCTTCACCTTGTGGAGAGTGCCATAGTTTGGTCCTGGCTGCTGGTAGGTCAGCATGAGTCTCAAAGGCACGTCAGATTTCCTAAGGCTTATCTGTACAAACATTTAAGCAACAGGGAGCTACTGAGGAGTCAACCAGAAAATGTTCTTTCATTACATTAACCATTTGATTTTTACATATTCTGCTGTTTTTCCCATATTATTTTTGCTTATCATCTACTTTATCTTGTATTTCTTTTTCATCTTACTTAAAAATTATCATCTGTACTTCATTATAGAGATTTTTGTCTTGCTATTCATTATTATTCATTATTTAAAATTATTTAAAGTCATTATTCATTCATTATTTAAAATTTAGATGGTACAATAGTTTTGTTTCTTACAGCATCACAGATCCATGGCAGAGGAAGACTCGTGCTCATCATTATGGCAGGACAAACTTACACAAGCAAAGCTCAAAATAAAAGTATGTAGCTGTTTCAGCTTACTTGATTTGCAACTATCAGTACTGTAGCGTTATTTTTCATTAAATTTTGCAACATGTTCTCTCTAGATTTTCTTGTTATCTTACAGTGTTGCCTGGCATTTTGTTACATCACGTTCACTGTCATAATACTTATTTGTCAATTTTCCCCTACCTTTCCTTTTCATTTATCCTTTTATGAAATTTCACACCAAGTTTAGGGCTAAAACATTGCAAAATTTTGTCTAAAACAATTCCATGCAATTAGGGTGAAATCATCCATGTTTGAACACAACAAAATTATTGACATTCTAGATTGACTCTAAAACTGTTATATTAGGTTTATTGCAACATTTATGGTATGAATGAGATGATATGTTTCTGTAAAATGACAATGACTACTGTATATGGAATACCTATGGAGATTCAGTATTAAAATAATGACAACATCTGAATATTTGTGAAACCAATTTTCCATACTCCTTAGCCCTGGTTTCCAAACAGCAAGACACATCACCCATTTGTAAAGTGGTTTAGCTAATATAACCAGTTATTTTACAGACTATATTATAACTCCCTTTGTTTCCGTATAATTAGGTAACACAAAGAATAATGGACCTGCTTCCTGGATATTCAGATCCATAAATGCCTTTTCAAGTACTGTTTCATGGCTTGGATTTGCACCTCTTGTGCAGGTGTCTATTGTTTCACCTTCCCTCAAATTTGGCTCGATGTGGTTTGTTTCAGTTGCTGCTGCAAAATAAGGAATATGCATCAGGAGAAAATGTGAATCTACAATTACCAAGGCACAGGTTTGGAACAAAGTCCCTAACCTTAACCAAGGCAGTGGTGTAACTCGATAGCAGCAAAACCACATTGAAGGCAGTGCCAAACAATTTCAAAATAGATATATCTGTGGCTGTCATCTTTCTTCACACGAGCCAGGAAAGTAAACTAAAACACAGTTTCACTGAATAGTTATACTGTAGTCATTTACATGCACAAGACTGTGAAGTATATTCTGTGAAGTTCATAGCCATTTATTGGTACGTAATGCATAACATTGTGGTAACACACAGCAGTGATAGTGGTAACACACTCTCCCTGCACCTCACGAGTGATTTGGTCTGGGTTCAAGTCCTGGCCAGGGAGGATTGACTGGGTGCCAAATCATAATTGTTTGCCCCTGTTTTGCCCAGTAATAATTAAGTACCTGATTATTACGATTGGCGGGTCACATTCCAGAGAAAACAGTAGGGTATGGTTTACCATGAGGTATGGAAAAGGAAAAGTCTCAACCTGATAAAAGGAGTCAGAAGTCATCTGTTTCTGTACCTCCCTTTGTTAAAAGAAAAAAGCGAACACAACAGAGGTGCAATAGGTACACTAAGAGACATCTCTATCAACATTAAGGGACCAAGGACTTTTCAACTCGCCCTCTAAACATAAGTGCCATAATTAGCAGACACTGTATTGAAGAGAGAACTTGATAAACAATTCCAAAGGATACCTGATCAATCAGGCGGTGACTCACATAACAGACTGGGAGCAGCTGTGTCTGACAGCCTGGTTGACCAGACCACCATAAGAGAGTTGAGCATAAGAGAAGTTCCGGATCAGCCGGGCTGTGGTGGGTACGTGGCCCTGCGGGCCGCTGCAAGCAACAGCCTGGTGGACCAAACTCTCACAAGTCGAGCCTGGCCTCGGGCCGGGCTTGGGGAGTAGAAGAACTCCCAGAACCCCATCAACCAGGTATCAACCAGGTATCACCAACCTGGAGGTCTGGTCAGAGACTGTGCTGTGGGGATGCTGATCCCCAGAACCAACGATCAGTAGACAACAGGTAGACAGACACCCTTTTAAATATCCACTCAGAGTTCAGGGATTGACTGTGGTTCAGTGTAGGCACCTCTTGTAATATTTTTTGGCTCTGCCTTGGTCCTTCGACATCTCCATCTACATTCCGACCTATCTTTACAATTGACTGGCATGGGCTGCTGGTTATTCAACTTGTCTGCCTGTATCAGATATGTTTCTTTCGCGTTTAACTTACTTCAGCTCTCTAGACATCTAGCACAAGTCCAACTAATGCCTTCTTAGGTTCTGCGTTGAGTGGTACTGGCCTTCGATACCAGGATGGCCTTCCTGTTTGCTGCAGTTGCCTCTCTTGCAGCTATGCTGCCATCTTTGGCTGGTGCTCATGAAGTCTTGACTTATCTGCTGGTGACTCGACTGGCTTCTGAGTAGCCTATGTGGTTTATCCTTTGGGCCATGAGTGGCTGAAAGCATTGTATTGAATTCTGTGGTGGGTGACCTTTTTTGAAGTGGTTGAAACCATGCAGTGTGCTCTGCTTTTCCCAAAGGGGATCCAATGTCATCATTTTCCTCTATAGGATTTTTTTGTTCATTGGTGTCATACCTTCCTCCTTTGTCATTCAATCTATTTACAAATATATCGGAGCTCAGCTTGTTTTATTGTGCTTATTCTTGCTGACCAAGGTTTTGTTCTCAGTGTTGGGTTAATCTCTGATAGCTAAGCCTCACCTCATGGAGAGAGGCAGATTCTGGTCCTGGTCCCAGGTAGCTCAGAGGAGCTACGGAGGAGCTCAGAGGCCCCTGCTAGAAATGGGTTTCATTACATTCAACACTTGATTTTTCAATGTTAAAAATGTAATGAAATATAAAACGTAGCGCTGTAATTACTAAGAGGAAAGCCAAGTTTTGGTTGTATTTTCCTCCTGATAAATAACTTACTGAATATTATAGAAACTTTGATTTATACAAATTATATTTGATGTTTTGTCATCACTTTTAGTTTATTGAGTTGGGCCACTTTTTGTCATAAAGTAAAGACATCTATTTGTTTTATTATAAATATAATAAGAAATTTTTTAAATATTTTATCTGCAAAAGATATTTCTTAGGAAGTGCTTGCAAAAAGAATATATGTAATCAGGTTAAATATCCATTTTCCTAACTTGAGATATGTTGGCCTTATGAGTGGATTTTTAATTATTTTCATGCAATCAAACAATATTTAGTTACAGTAATTGCTTTTTCTGCTAACTTATTGAAGGAGGTTTCATTATTTAGTGACTAGGTACTGTATTATGTTTGCTGTTAGTAATTTTGGGAAGTTTGAGAGGTGACATGTGCTCTGTTTTTTGTATGTAGTCTTCAGTTGTGTTATTAATACAACTTTGTACTGCCTTTTATTATATTATAGTGCAAAATTAATGATAATTTTGCTTCACAGAAATGGGAGGGTGAATACAAGGTAGTCAACAATTGCCGTCCAGACAAGGCTGCCCTAGCAATGGCACCAGATGACATAAAGGCGGCTTACAAAGCATATCACTTCTACCGTAAAGGTTTGGAACAAACTAAAAATACTACTAGGGAGTACACAAGTGACAAGAAGGTGAGAACAAATGGAGCAAGTTGTAATGGAAATTATGAGACAGCTTTGAGTGATCAAATTGTTCATTACAACAATATTCTTAATAATGGCGAATCTTCAAAGATTTTGCACTGTTCCAAAAGTGCATCTATTGACAGTAGTAAAGATAAGAGCATGGATGATGGAATGGAAGAAGAAACTTTAACATTAAACAGCACAGCGGTGCCTTCAGAAGATGCAAACTTGTCCAGCCTGACGTGTGAATTCACAACAGACATATCTACTCCACTTCCAAAAACCAGTAATGGCAATATTTGGGGCAAACACCTCAACAAAGATAAACAAACTCCAATAAAAGTGAGCAGCAAGGACACTTCACTTTACACAAAAATGGCAGAAAAGCTCCGGGCTAGTGGTACCATAAAAGTAAGAACATCCCTGAAAAAGCCAAAAAAGGAGGAGAAAAGACATATACCAACAAATTCTATGAAGCAGACTTCTAGTGTAAAACCAAACATTCAGAAAGATAAGGAAAATATTTCTAGCATGGTACCTGAACATAAAGCTGACTTCAGTCTTCATGTCAGTGCCAGCACTCAAGCAGTTTCAACAGAGAACACATTAAAAGGACACACTACCATTGGGCTTGTTGAACCAGTTTCAGATTATAAAATATCGTGTGAATCTGAAGCTATGGAAGGGGCAAAGACAAGTGTCTTTGATACTCTGAAAAATAATTATTTTGATGATAAGTTATTTGAGACTAATAAAATGCCTTTCAGACTTCACAAGAGACAAGATGATAAGAAATTAAATGTTCAAACAATTAAGGCCGTTTCCATCATTACATCTGCAGATTTTGATTTAGAAGCACTTGCTGTCAAGAAAAAAGCAGGTTTGAACCGTGGGTGGGTGGAGCGTTGTACAGGCACAGAGTTTGTAGATGAATCTAAGGAAAAAGTTGGGAATGTATCTTCTGAAAGTTGGAAGATGAAACTTATTGACAAAGAATGGAAGGAGGAAGAGGATGAGGAAGATAGAAGTACTCCCCAGAGGTTACCACTAGAAATTTCACCTTCACATATGAATGCAGAATGCACCCAGCCACAGCCGCACACTTCGTCACATGTACGCACTCCAGCAGGCAGGAGAGATAATGTGTTGAAAAACTTTAATGAAGATGGTATTGCAAAAGGATACTCAAGTCATGAAAAAGAGAACGACTCGCATGGAGAAATGCATTTCATGGAAAAGTCAAGTGCTGCTGCGACTGGTGTAAAACGCAAAAGAGTTACTTTGAGGAATAAGAAGCACTCGATAAACAAGGTTGGTATTGGGACAGGCGAGCACACAGACGATGATCCATATGTTTTTGATGGAGAGATTTCTGGGAGTGAGATCAACAACAGTCAAACAAGGCAAGAACCCAGAAGAGCATTGAGAAGTGGCATGACTTACAGCATTGAGCCAATTGATGAAATAGATAATAATGAAAGAATGAGTGAAAGCTCAAAACAGCAGATGCCAACTGAAGAAAAAAGTAATGATAAACATGTAAGAAAAAGGAAGAAAGTGGAAAGTTTAGAAGAAATGGAGGAAAGTGGGAAAATTCAGTCAATTTGGCCACCACCCAAGAAGAAAAGAATAGCAAGAAAGAAAGTACCAAAGGCTGTTGCAATACCTGAGAGGAAACAGCAAAACAAAGTCTTGAAAAGAATTCCTAATAGAAGGAAGAGTTCATCAGCGACTGCTAATGCTACATCCATTGATTCGACTGATGGAGTACAAAATAAAGAGCAAAATGTAACCCATTCCTCAAAACCTTTTGAGGAGGGCTATGAGGAAATTGAGGATATTGAGGCACATGGTATGAAAAACACAAACAAAAAGGCTGTTGGGAGTGCTGAAGACCGCTTTGTGAAGAAGGTTTCCTCGGGCTCTGCAAATAATAATTATGTACGTATTAACTTGAAGAAAAAGGTATTTGTCCGAGGCAAAAAAAACATGACTGCTGGTAAATACAAGAGGCAGGAATGGAAAAAGAAGAAGGTTATGAAGAGTGCCGAGGCAGGAAACGAGGGTGCTATAAAGAAGCTTACGTGCTTCAAGTGTGGTGACTTTGGACACTGGGCCAAGAACTGTTCAGGTAAAAGGGGAGATAATCTTCTCTCTTTAGAGTATTACAATGAGACAGAATCAAATTTTCTCAGTCTTGAGGATGCAGCAGCAATGGCAATGGGTATCAAAACTTTTAGTGGTAATGCATTGTCATCATCAAAAATGTTCACAAAGGTTGAAGAATCTGACAATAGAAAGGACTTTGATGGTAAATGTGTGCAAGGAGATTTAGGCTTGCTTGCTGATGAAAGTCAGAAAGCACAAGACGACTCTAACTGCAGTGAAATGGTAAACACTACATGTGAATTAGTACAGAAGTGCAGCACAAATATAGATGAAAGTCAGGCACATTCACAGCCTAATGATCTTGTTGAAATATCAGAAGAGATGGAAACATTCAATCATGTGGATTTAGATGATGATCTATTTGCAAACTTTGATGAAACTAATATGCAGGCAAGTGACCCCGACAGTGAAATTCCTTCACAAGGCTCAACAATAACAAATAGCCAGCAATCTAGCACTTCAGCACAATCAAGTTCATCTTTCAGTCACTGGGCATGTGACAGACCTACTGTTAAGCCACTTTATCCATTAGAAAATGGAGACATTGGTCCCACGTCAAATGAGGTGTATGATGCACTTAAGATGTTTGGTTTCTCAGCCTTCAGACCAGGTCAAGAAAAGGCTGTCATGAGGGTTTTATCTGGGCTGTCAACTTTGTTAGTCTTATCAACAGGGTCTGGTAAAAGTTTGTGTTATCAACTTCCAGCCTACCTCTATGCCAAGCATAATAACTGCATCACTATATGTGTATCGCCTCTTGTGTCACTCATGGAGGACCAGGTGATTGGTCTTCCTAACTTCCTTCATGCTGTCTGCCTTCATACACATCAAAATGCAACCCAGCGGTCACATGCCATAAATGCTATTACATCTGGGACTGCTCACATTTTGCTAGTTTCTCCAGAAGCTGTGGTGGCAAGTAGTACAGGTGGTGTCCTCGGTACATTACTTAAAGAACTACCTCCAGTAGCTTTTGCCTGCCTAGATGAAGCTCATTGTGTGTCAGAATGGTCTCATAATTTCCGTCCGTCGTATCTTCGTGTTTGTCAGGTATTAAGGGAGAGGTTGGGTGTTCAGACAATTTTAGGATTAACTGCTACTGCCCGCCAAACCACAGCACTTAGTATTGCACGACACCTACTCATTCCCAATTTTGATGCTGGCATAATTCGTGGGACAAGCGTTCCCGATAACCTACATTTGTCTGTGTCTCGTGACCAAGTTCGGGAACAGGCATTGATATCTTTGCTTCAGGGAGACAGGTTCTCTTCGTGTAAGTCTATCATCATCTATTGCACAAGACGAGATGAATGTGAGCGAGTTGCCACATTAATCAGGTCTCAACTCTTGGATCCTAAAAAAGTTGATGTGAAGAGCAACCTAAAAAGAACGAAGGGAATATCATTTGATGCCGAGGCATACCATGCTGGATTAAGCTCACATAGGCGACAGCAAGTTCAAAAAAGGTTTATGTCTGGTAAACTGAGAATAGTTGTTGCTACAGTAGCCTTTGGCATGGGAATAAATAAGTCAGATGTACGGGGTATCATCCACTTTAACATGCCTAGAAATGTAGAAAGCTATGTGCAGGAGATTGGACGTGCTGGCCGGGATGGGCAAGATGCTCATTGTCATCTCTTTCTTGATGCACTTGATGGAAGGGACATCCAGGAACTCAAGAGGCATATATATGCCAATTCTGTGGATCGACATACAGTAAGAAAACTCCTCAACAAAATATTTAAACCCTGCACTTGTGCCAAAGTTAAAAGCCTTGAAAGTTTTCAAGAAAGCAAGGAGGAGGGTAAATGTTATAAGGTTAATGATATTGAAGACACTATTTCTGATATTCCAGCATCTGAATTGCCACCTTGTGCGCCTTTGTCGCCTGTCAGCAGCCAGGCATCCAGGACAATTGAAGACCAAGAAGACATAAAAAACTCGGATATTGAATCATCTGCTCCAGGCCCTTTTTCAGTGCAACTGCCTGTTTCCTCCTGTCCTCGACATGAGATAGCAATACCCATACATAATTTAGTGGAGGAACTAGACCTTCCTGAAGAAAATTTGGAGACTTTGTTATGTTACATAGAGTTGCACCAGGGAAACCTTGTTCATCTTAAATCACATGTGTATTCAAACTGCAATGTTTCTTGCTATGGAGGGCCCAGACAGTTAGTTGCCATAAGTCACCGATGTCCACCTCTGGCCGTCGCAATTGCCCTTGAACGTCAGAAAGGAGTTAGCTTTGAAAACACCAGCAGAGTGAGTTTCCCAGTAGTGGAGGTATCATCTCGAATGGGCTGGGACAGCAAGATTGTTAAAAGGGAGTTAAAGGCACTAGAATGGAACACACAAGCTCTTTCAAATGGAGGAAAGGTCAAGCGATCAGGAGTGACCGTAGAGTTGACTGATCTATCTTTTCACTTGGAAGCTCGCGGAGACTTGAGTGATGATGAGTGTGATCAGTTATTAGATACCTTATTTAAGAGAGCTCGGACTCAGGAACATGACCAATTAAGACAACTCCATTATACGTATGAACTGCTTCGTTCCGTATCACACAGCTCCCTTCTGTTATGCTGTGATTCAGTTGATATGGACCGATGTGTCAAACTTAAAACAGAATTACGGGAATACTTTTCCAAAGAAGGTAAAGACCTATCCGGAGTTATAATTCAGGAAAAAGTTTATATACGACCCGAGATAGAAGCAGGTGTTCGTAATAGCGTACGTGCTCTTATATCTACCCATGTGGATCAGCAGTGGACTGGTCGAGCAGTAGCCCGAGTATTCCATGGTATTGGCTCGCCAAATTTTCCTGTTGAGGTATGGGGCCGTGTTAGACGGTTCTGGAGGCAACATCTAAATATTGACTTTAATGTGCTTTTAAATCTTGCTACTCAAGAGATTCTAAGGTGTAAATAAAATTTCCTCTTGTAAACACTGTACATTTCAGTACGGTACTGTTATTTTTAACCAGTGAATTTATTTATTTTAGTCTTGATGTCAAAATTATTCATATATAATGTAACAGTACTTTATATGAAATTGTCTTCTTGTTGTTTTATATAATTTTTATGGCCATTGTATTGCCAAAAAATTTACAAATAACATTTTTATTTAAATTTACATTGCAATTGTAAGATATAAAGCTTAAACAAATTCTAAGACACTTTTTATTGTGGGATTTCTAAATTATTGTAAATTTTATAAACAAAGTATTGGTGTTATTTTCCCTCAATAAGTTGTGCATCACTGATTGTGTATGAGTTTGACAGTGTGTCCAAAAGAAGAGAAATAAATGTGCCAGTTTCTTCTCAGGTAGAATTAATCCAGTACAGTACTGTGGGATGAAATGGCTGTAGAAACTATATCTAGGAACATTTGCAGTTGGGTATAACCTTGCAGTATGAAATGTGTGCACGGTACAGTACAGTACAGTACTGTACGTGTTGTAATTTTGATGTACAATATTCAGTATTCTGTACAGTACAGTTCTATATATTCAAAGATAGAATATGACATTGGTTTCATGAGAAGATCAACAGGAACATGGGGAGGAGTTGAACTTGGTACTCCCAAGCAAACACCCTAGACCACTACACCACGACATGGTCAAAAGCAATGCAAGCTGGGATTCCACAGAATCCTCTAGAGGTCCTTTGGCTTCCAACTGAAGCCCAATCAGGGTTTCACACATTGCCACTATGCACTCTGTCTTATGGTCAAGTAGTTCTACCTTCAATGCGTCTCGCCAAATGCACGATGAAAATGGTGTTTGCTTGGGAGTACCGAGTGAGCAGGTTCGAATCCTCCTCACGGATCCTACAGACTTTCTCATTGATACATCACGTTAATGTGAATTCATTGTGCATTTGACAAGAAGCGTTGCAGGTAGAATTACTGGACCATAAGCCAGGGTGCAAGGGCATCAAAGTATGAAACCCTGATTGGGCTTCAGTTCAGGACCCCTAAATGATTCAGTGGAGTCTCAGATTGCATTGCTTTTGACCATGTCGTAGTGTAGTGGTCTAGGGTATTTGCTTGGAGAACCAAGTGTGTGGGTTAAAATCCTACTCACGGTTCCTACTGATGTTCTCATTCATACATCACTTTAATGTGATTTCAGTGTGCATTGATTTGATGCCCCGTAAGAAAGATCACTGAAACATGCCATTTACTGAATTTGTACTACACTCATCCCTGAATGAAGTTAAAGCCAATTTAATAGGAAAGTTGAAATTGCTTATGATATACTGTTTGCTTCCTGTGGCACCAGAAATTACTTTGCTTGAACTGTGTAACTGGGGAACTCTTCATTTAATGGACCAACAGTCTCATTATTCCCATTCCTAAACCTAAGTACAGTAACAGAATGTCTTCCACCCAATTTTCATTACTACAGTACTGTAGTACAGTACTGTACAGTACCTTGCAAGACTTGAAAAAATGTGGTTGTAAACCATCTTCTCCACAGAGCTAGTTGGTGCTTTTTCTGGCTTGGCACCTTTTTTTGATAATTGCTTGCTTGCTTCTATAGTCTTCGGGCCTTATGTATCACCCAGATACATGGTTTCATGCAAGAAAGGAGTGAACTTCATTGCATTACCAGGTTCTTTATCCTGCATACTGAAGTCATATACTGTACAAGTTTCCTACGTTTAATGTCTGGCTTTGACTTAATCTTTACCATTGGATATCAACACCCAAAATATACTCAAACCATGTACAGGTGTAAGATAAGTCAGGATTAAGGATATTCATCTTGCTGAAAAAATACTAAGATTTTAAAATGGCACCTACCCAGACAAGGAGGAGCTGTTCACAAAATGCAACTGTATGATTATGTAACCAGATTCAAATAATGTCCACGAAGTGGTAAAACACTTTCTCTGCATTTCGTGAGGGCTTTGGCCTGGGTTCGTATCCTGGCCGTGGAGGATTTACTTTGTGCCAATCCTTAACTGTAGCCTCTGTTCACCCAACAGTGAATGGCTACCTGGTTGTTAAACAATTCAGTGGGTCATATTCCTGGGAAAATTAGGATTAAGGACTTGCCCGAAACACTATGTTTGCTAGTGGCTGCACAAGAATATAAGAACTTATATGTATGTATGTAAATAAATAAAAAAATGTGGCCTTTACCAGATGCCTCCTTTTGAAAGTAACCTTGGCTAGTTTTTGTTCTCTATATTGGACCTTCTTTATTCTACAAAGGTTTTACATTTCTTCGGTTGCACTTGTGTGTAGCACTTGCCTGCACTTTGCTGAAGATTCCTTTCAAGTCCTCTAAATCTTCATCTGTTATCCCCTGCCCTGTGGCCCCTTCCGTATCATATATGTAGTGGGTTCTGCGAGTTCTACTCCCCACGCTCGGACTGGAGCCAGAGTTGGGATAACTTGGTCTACAGACTGTTGCTTGAAACGTCCTGCTACCCGGATGTAACCCGTAAGGTCACATAACCTTACCCTATGGTAGTTCTGAGCCGTCTCTGCAGCTCGGTATCTGACCAGGCTGCTGGATGCAGCTGATACCAGTCAGATATATTAATCATAGCCTAGTTGTTCAGGTATTCTATGGAGGTGTTTATCAGGTTCTCTCTTGAACACTGAGAGGTAAGCAAGTTATGCCCCTTATGTTTAGAGGGAGTGTTGAACAGTCTTGGGTCCTAGACTATTTTGTTGTCTAGACTGTAATGTAGATAGAATTGTTGATAGAAAAGGCCACCCAAGTAGTACTAAAATGTAATGAAAATCCATTATTTACTACACTGTCCCTATGTAATATTTCTTGTGTAGCATCAAATTATTTTGAGGAGCACTATAATTTAGAAGTTTTATCGAGTGGATTTGGACAGTAAAGGATCGTTGCACAGTCTCCAAGTCAGCAATTTCTCCAGCTGTTAGTATACTACAGTATTCCACTCTAGAGATCACTAGTGTCAAAGTATCATCATTGGTCTGGCATCTTTGTTTGAAAGACTCGTTATCCAACCTGTCACTTTTCATGCAGTTGTCATAGCTGTTTTGTGTTCTTTAAAATAAGGTCTTCGGACATGATTACTCCCAAATCTTTTATATTACTTTTTTGTTCTATCGTGTGATATACTGCAGCATAATCTAAAAGGTCTTACATTAAAACTCCAATATTCATTATAATATATTTCCTCTATATTTTCATTACAGTGTAACAAACAATGAGTGTGTTCCAGTTTCAACAGTTGTTTTTTCTATAAAAACTGCAACCTATTAAAAAATAAAGATTTGATGAAATAAATAAGAACACCTATGCTATTTGAAAACTACTATATGCTATTAATAATAATTTAGATGCAAAAACAGAAAAATAAGACCATTAAACAAAACAGTTTAGAACATCAGTCACAAGGTACTACCAACACTTGGATACACAAACAAAACTTTGTTCAGCACATAGTTGGGATAATCAAGTGCTCATGTCCTGTATTGGCTCTACCACAGACTACACAACTAATATTCCCAAAATTGTCACCTCTGTACAAATACACCTAACAGGCAAACATTCATCATTTTTTCACTTAACTAATTTATATGTAACTCACTTTTTCTTCTGGCAAGTTAAAATGTATCTTGTATAACAATTACTCATTGTAGTACTGTAATCATAAATTTCAATTCAGATTGAAATACCATCGCATCAATATCCTGCTAAAATGAGGAAAAATAATGTCAAAAACTTAATTTGGGATGTCTGATCAATGAATAAATCACAAAATTATTGTATTATGACTAAACCATAATTTATTTTTCTCCATTAAGTCTTGGTTCATTTCATTAACAACAGCTATTCAGTCAGAAGACATTCTAGACAACAGTCGAGATGCAAAAAGTTCAGCTGCACTGTAGTTTATGATAATTTTGACTACTGAAGCTTACAGAGATAACTTTGACCACATCAGTAAGAAATCTTCTGCAGCTTCAACAAACAGGACAAGATTTTACCATACAAGCTTGAAGGCAGACAACTTAACTGATCACAAACTAACTGTAGATACTGCATCGCAAAGAGAATAAGCCTTAACTTAACAAGAGCTTTGCAGAGACAACAACAACTGCTGATACAAGACAAATCCTTAGCACTATCTGGTGATATTCTCGGTACAGCATAACAGGAGGTACTCAGTCCTGACTGCTCTTATATCACAGCTCAAAACTTGCTTTATTGATACAAAACTACACAAGATTATCAAGTTTATAAGCACCTTTGTCTTACTATTTTTTCCCCCCAGACAATAAAATTAAACCTGTTAAAGCTCAAGTACAAATAGGTAGATGCACTGTTATTATTGAGTACAGTAATAGAAATGGCTTCACAAATAAGGTGTAATTAATATTTACATAATGCATATTATGTCAATACCAAGCTTAATGCCATGAGCAGATTTATGGAAAGTCAAGAAACTTTAAAATATAACTTCTTGGGAATAAATAAACTTGTATCATACTACTTCCTTTAAGTTATAGCTAAACTCAAACATTTTATTATTATAATTTGCATATTGATTATAAAGTTCACAACTGTTCTAAATTGTTCAATACATGGAGTAGAGCAATTAAGACTAATATGTATGAAACAGAAGCAGTTTGAAAATTAACTTGTACTTCATAACCTAAATGCAATTGCAATAGATTGTATTTTAAAACTAGAAGAAAATATACTATCTATACAACAAAACAGTTGAGAAATTATTAAATGTTTAGACCATTTTTAAGTGATAAACCAGGTTATAATTTAGTCTCGGTAGCTTGCAGAGCCTGAATGACAAAAAAGAAATGCCTCTTTTTTTTTAAAACTTTAGGGCTCTCCAGTTCGACTTTGTATTTTTGACTGCCAAAGAATGATGTGAACATGTTTCTCCCACAAAGTCCTAAAGTCCTAAGTTTATTAATATGGGTTTGTTCAATGTAAGTTTTTTGTTTTTAGCTTTGCAGTCAAAAATGACATGTTCAACCACATTAATAATGACAGTAGAGACTCATAGTAGTTACCCGCATTCAAGTACCTGTGCACCAATCTAATGACAGCTACTTTTATCAGTCATAATGCTGTACTTTGTACTTGAAATATTACAAGACATGCTGAATGCCCTAACCACAAATTTGTGCTGGACCTTACAGTACTGTACTCGGCACAGTTGCCATATTATTTTGTATTGAATGCAAGACTTCTGGTGTGCTTTTACAGCATTACGTATGCAATGTCACAACTGAACTTATTTAAGTTTGGAATTTATGAGTCAAGTTTCTTAATCAGTGGAACAAGGTGCAAAATTCCAACATTCCACACTAACACTGGCACTGGAGTTCAGCAGGTTTTAATGCAAATCTTAATGCTGGTAAATGTACATGCCAATGTAATGTTCTTAGGATGGTTTTTTATAAGCCAGGAGATGAGGACTACGTTACGTGAGCCCCTCGAGGAGGTATTCCTAGACACTTTATATCAAAGCTTTGTATTTTTCAACTAGATGCCTTTTTTTTTTTTTTTACAGAAATCCTAGTCTTATTTAGGGTAGTGGAATGAAATAAATGGTTATCATTTAAAATACATTAATGTTAGGCTTTAAGTAGATTTATGACCAAGTGCCACTCTTCTTAAAAATAAACAAAAGCATGAACGTTGCCAATGAATGCTGTAATAGTACCACGACACTTAATTATCTAATTCCTAAGAGGCTGAGCTTTGAAGTATTGCAATGCCCTGTTAAATGCCCTTTGATTGATAGTAATACACTATAAAAAATACTTATAATAATTCATTCAAACATTTCTGCTGGTGAAAAAAACGGTCACACAAAATGTCCAATAATTAGCATCTAACTTTCACACAAAGCCTCAAGATCAATACTCTACAAATTCACCACTTTCATAAATACTACATCACAGTTCTTAGCATTAAACTGGCAGCACAACATTCGAAAAAAAAAAAAAAAGCTTCTAGAGGCATCATTTAAATATGCAGTGAACCAATACACATCATAATAAAAGTTACATGAAAAGCAAGTGATATCCATACTTCATTGTTCGCTACAGAGTGCATGATTTACCGTTTTTGTTGTCACTACTTTCTTTATACTGGAAATATTCATGAAACAAAGTGACTGTAGGCCCATGCTGAAAATGTATCAACTTGTCATTTCACACAGTGGGAAATAAAGCAAAGAACTATGGATGCTTACCAATCGGCATCTTTGAGAAGGAACATTAATTTTTTTTGTTTTTTGTTTTTGTCAGCCTTCTGAAAATTGTATACTACTTCCCAAGCCATCACCAATTGAACCAAATGAGAACATTTTACACTACATCAAAACTTTAACCCTCTTCTAACAGCAAACTTCTTACAGTATTGAAATAAAATATACAAAATAGTTTTTATCATTCACCATCGAGTGTTTTCACACATCTATCCAAACCACCACCACCTGTGTCTCCTGCAAATGTACAAACCACACCATAAATACATCCTTTTAAGAAAATGCAAATAAAACAAAGTAGGTGGCAAAGAAAAGTAAAATTCATGAAATTACAGGATCTTTATTTGTATCCGATTTTATAGTAATTTCAATGTAGAAACACAAGATGAGGTTTGGCAAGATGCAAAAACAAAATACAAGATATATACATTTATTACAAATAATACTGTGGAAACCAAAGTCAACATACAAACAATAATGAACTTCAATAATACAATTAGTTTTTTTTTATAAAAGTAATGAAAATATTTTAATTATTATGTTTCCAACAAATTTAAATAAAGCTTCCCCAGGAAGAGGCCCAGTGTAGCTATCAATCCAATGAAAAACTCCTAAATGACAACAGTCAACATAAAATTGCCGAAATACCTTTTTTTCTCGAAAACAAAATATGATTCTAAGCATAGAAGATTATTGCAATGTATTACAATTGCATTATACTAGCACGAATGAAACGTTGAAAAGCAACCAGACATACATGGGACATATGACTTGCCACTTCAGCAATGGGACCACACCTCTATCAAGTATATAACATTCTACACCTTTATTGCCCATTGCTTCTTAAATGGCTCAAGGTGCAAAAATCTGGCCATGATAAATGCATGACAAGTGATTAGCATCATAATTACTTGCCAATATTAATTACAGCAACCAATGCATCTGGAAATTTTGTATATACTGTATTGTGGTTCCTCCTAGACACTCAATTTAGTGGTCTTCAAAAATTGTGTTGGCTCGATTGTTAATGTAACTTTTATACCAACTAAACCAGATATGCATATTTTTATTTCAATTACTTTTAGCCAAAAAGTTTTAATGCACTTGACCACTTGTGTAGTCCCCCTGCACGTCTTACATACAATACTCCTGTCACTCGTGTAATCCATATAAAACATTACCCACACAATCCAAAATCAAAATGTTATACATAATGAGCAAAATGTGGAATGCAATGCTTTAAATATTACAAATCAAATTTGCAACAGCTGAACATCCAGTACCCACCCTACCCTTAGATGCACGACAAGTGTTGAAACATTCTATCATTTGATGTTGCACTTCTGTTGTTGAAAGTAGCATATATGTGTAACACACTAATAAGCTTATGAAACATTTCCCGAGGTAAAATGGGTCACTTTCATAAAATGTAGTGACAATGCTCAAGAAATAGTTATAGTCCCATACCATACCAAGTTGTTGTGACGGTCACAAGATCACAAAATGGTAAAAAAAAAGTTACTTCATATAGTTAAATATGAGCAAAGGGACTGCTGAACATGATTGACACACAGATGAGGTCACTGGAGATTATGGGTGGAGGAGCATAGCAACAGGTATTTAGCATGTTATTGTTGGGGAAATGAGCATGGCATAAAGGATTACTGAAAAAGGGGGGGTGGGGGGTGATCAACAATGCTACTAGATATCAGGTGTGGTCAAGTGTCACTTGAGATTGTGGTTCTGAGAATGTGGGGTCTTCAAGTCACAGTGCAAGAGTGACAATAGAGCCATCTGAAGTGGTTGTAACGCTGTGGAAGGTGGTGGGTGGGGCTCAAGGTGGGTGTCGACACTACTGCACATGGCACTAGTATTAAACATGTCAAAAGTCAACCATCTAATCTTCAACTTATTCCTACATAAGTTATGACCGAGACATTGTACAACTAATTACCACGCTTTGATATTTTTAAGAAATATATTAGGAATAACATAACTCAGTAATTGAATCATAGTTGCCATTACACTTTATACTTTACATAGTGTGGTAGTACCAATACAGCAAAGTTACCGAGGTATCAACGCGTATTTCGAAGGCCTTTTTTTCAACCAAATATCAATGGGCATTACAATCAATTACATTTGGCATCCACCTCAAAACACTCTGGTATCACATGGAAAATCTTTAGTTAAATTTGGCATAACTGGAAGTACTGACAGGATTAACTGGCTTTTCCCCATCAAAGAAATCCAACACTTCTTGACAACCAATGTGACTGCTGTACCATGTAATGTGTATATCTTTGGACTATATGGACAATCAACATTAGATGTCTAATAATTTTGAAAACCATTTTTCAAAAACTATAAGCTAATGAAATGATTAAAGAGTGATTATCTTTAGGCATATGAATCTACTTGCACAAAACCAACATCATTTTGCTAAACAGCCTGTCATAACACCAGGGGTGAGGTCAGCACTAACCTGTCACCAGATTTGTCATGCCTGATGCCAGCATCTGCCTAACAAAGCACACAAACTAGACCACACTCACATATAACATCTTATTACAAAATTTAAAGGAGATCCTGATTCTCCATCACTGCTAGATCTTCGGCGGTGCAGTCCCCATGCGTGAGGCGATACATAGCCATCTCGGAAATACCGTGGTAGTGGACAAAGGCTGCAGCAATCACCAGTATGTGGAAAATCTGATGACTTTGGAACTGAAATACAAAAATGCAATCTAGAATTACACATACCTTTGAACAAAATATTTACCACTGTTTAATTGTATGTTTGATAAACATTTTTAGAGAATGGACACAAATCTGAGTAAAATTTGGGCTTTTATTGCATTTAACATTTTTTTGATATGGTTAATGTATTTGATTATAAATTTCACTAAAATTGCTTTTACATTTTAACATTTCACAATTATGCACAAAATTACATTAATAACTACATAGCACCTGCAGGTGTATGCATGCATATAGACATGACAGCAACATACATGCAAATTACTGTATTAGTATCAAGTAAAGGGACCAATGCCATAACGTTTACAAATAACATACCCAGAGATCACATTTGCCAGGGAAGAACCTCTCGGGCACTCGTACAGCATATAACAATGCACCAATCACATACAACGCCCCCATGAGAATCAACCAGCCCATAGAGGCACGTGTGATGGCATAATCAAAACCTTCGATAAGCGTGTAATGCACAGCTGGTATGATCCCGGACAACCCAAAAGTCAGAAACACAGCTGCAAAATTATGGAAAAATTAAACATTGTTCAATATATGAAAATGTTACTTTCAAGACATTTAATACAGTATCCCAATATGACACCCCTGGCAATTGCCTCAATGTGAGGTGTCCAAAACAGTTCACACATGACTAGTCAACAAGATATTGATAAAAGACAAAACAGTTTATAAAATTAGTCACTTTGGTGTGGGCAGTGGCCATTTTGGTCAGTGTAATGCTGGCATTTGTCAGCATTACACTGTGATAGAAGCCAGGAACAAACAAAATAGTTTATCTTTCACATGAAATATTAAACAAATAAAGAATATATAGAAAATACCAAAATATAGTGAAGTTTTTTATGTTGGCTTAGGAAAATATGAAGATGGGGGGGAGGGGTGCTCAGGAGCTAAAGCAAACCCGACTTAAATTTGTGACTTCCCATCACTGCTTGGAGGCACCATTCAGCTATTGCAACCACATGAACAATATTGCTATTTAAACATTGATGCAAAATGTAGATTGTCATTTGATGACCACATTGCACTAGGTTAACTATTGAAAAAGTACCTTGGAACATGGCCCATTAAATCAAGGCTAAGAAGTGGGATAAAATTTAAATCACATGAAGGCTTCAATACCACTAATTTGCACTATTAAGTCATCTATTAACATGCACATGGCTGTATCAAGAATCAGTAGTCACTCTAGAGGAAAATTAAAACATTAGCCAGATAGATCTATTCAGCACAAGGTAATTGCCAAAGACAGCTAGGAACTATAGACCGAGGCTGAAATCGTTAGGGACCATGATATAAAAAATGAGAATAGTCAGAAAATCCTAACGAGACAGTATATGGGAAGGATCAGAGAAGGAAGATTGAACCAAGTCTTTAACGTATTTACATGTTGACCTGGAATACACACACTCAAGTAGTGTGGCCATTTCCTAAACCCAAGAAAGAATGTCAGTCACTAGATGTGTGTGTGTAATTACCTGTGTGTAGTTACAGGACGAGAGCTACACTCGTGGAGTCCCGTCCTCCCAGCACTGTCATAACGCTTTAAAACTACAGGTACTAACGGTTTTGGCCTCGCCACCTCAACTTGTTTCAACCGTCTACCACTGTTTCCAAAAAAAAAAAAAAAAAAAACTTTTCTAATATTTTTTTGGGCACCTTTGTGTCCTTACCTTGAATCTATGACCTCTTATTCTTGAGTGTTGATTTCAGGAATTCCTGTCAATAAGCTCAATTCCCGCTGTTACTTTGTAAACGGTGATCATATCACCCATCTTCCATCTTCTAGCTTAGCACATTTAAAGTCTCTAGCCTCTCTTCATAATTCACTTTTCAGTTCTGGAAACTATTTTATAGCACGACCTTTGCACCTTTTCCAGTTTATTGGTGTGCTTCTTAAGATATTGGCATCATACAACTGCTCCATATTCCAATTTTGGTCTCACAAAAGTCACAACCAATTTCTTTAAATATATTTCACCATCCATGTAATTAAAAGCGAATCTGAAGTTGGAAAGCGCAGCATATGCTCCTCTCACGTCCTTTTGTGTTCCTTTGGTGACATTCTATTATCCAGAACCTCCCTTAAACCTCTTTATTAGTGCTTTAATTCCTTTCCACAATTCATAGGTTGTGTGGTCTATTTTCTCTTATTCCATAACATGGCACGTACACAATGAATTCCAATTTGTCATATGGTGTTCCAAGCACTATTTTAGCTAGGTAAATTTTAAGGGCATGACAATCATCTACATCTCTCTCTTCCCTAGTAGCTTAGCATCATCAGCAAACATGCTGGATATTATTTTGTATTCCTTATGGTAGATCATTTATGTAGAAAATTAACTTTACTTGTACAAGAACTAAATACTGTGGTACTCCACTAGTAACACTCTTCCCATTGGATACATTGCCTCTACTTACAGCCTCATCTTTGTGTTTGTACATGTATATCTGTATATCTACATCATTTTGGAGGCAATGTGTGTGTGTGTGTGTGTGTGTGTTACACACACACACACACACACACACACACACACACACACACACACACACACACACACACACACACACACACACACACACACATGTACATGTACCTCGAGACCAAAGAGCCAAAGCTCAATCCCTGCAAGCATAACTAGGTGAGTACACACACACACACACACACGTAGCAGCTGTGTCCTTTTTTGAGGACTGGAAATGGCCATTCTACTCGCGAGTCGTTCCTGATTAACAAGAAATTGAGAAACAACTACTCTCTAAGATCAGTTAAGACTTAAGATGATTGTTTGATAACCTTTGAAAAAAAAAATACTTGGCCTATAGCATTAGAACTAATATTTAGTGCAAGTTATTTGTCAAGACGAGTAATTGACAAACTAATTTAGTACCAAATAATAAATCGAGCCAAAATGTACATGCAAGGTAACCATAAAAAGTCTAAAAGATGATATTTAATGATCTAATGACAGTTACACACACCCCCAAAAAAACTTGTCCAATTACAGTAGTAAGACACACTTAAAGACTTACCAACATCAGTACAGCAGTAACTATATGTAAAAACTAACCTGCACGTAGAGGTCTGAATGTTGGCGTGCTAAACTTCTCCCATAATGAAACAACAATAGTGGTGATGCCCAGCAGCACAACAGCTGTTAAGTAGATGAGCTTTGGTTGGAAGTCACAGTAAAACCCGTAATACAACCAGGGCACAAATGAACCCATAATTAGTAATGCGATGCCACAATAGTCAAGTCTGAAAAACAAAACAAATATTAATGTAAATATGTTTATTGTTTGTGATGTGTGTCTATGTATGTATTAACACGATGTACTGAAATTGAAACTTATTTCAATTTCAATATTAATGTATTAACCATCATGCCATTCAAGGACCCCAACATATGAAAAACAGAGCTGTACAATGAATATAACATTTTTGACAGTAATCTTGGAGCAAGCGACTTGACAAAAGAACCTTTGAGACTTGGGATGACCTACCTATACTGAATATAAATTTCTGGAAATATAAGATGAATAAAAACCTTAAAATTTGGCTACTACTTTTAAATTAGAAAGTGCACACACACTTGTACACAACCAACACCTAAAATGCACAATCCAAAAGCTAGAGCACAAATATGTAAGAATACACAGGATCAAAACTGCAACACAGAACAATTAGGAACACTTGTACACTCACTTGCTAAAGAGCTTCCCCACAAACTCTGAGTGGCATGAGACTGTATGGAAGGTGAAGGAGAGCCCCAAGCAGAAGATGGCCCCAATAAAGAATGCAGTAAACACCAACTTCTCCTTTAAGTCCACCTGCACCCAGTGTTGACCTAGTGATGACCCCGTTAAGAAGTATACCATTACCCCGATAAATGATATGCATCCTGAAACAAAATGAAATTATAAGAATTATATATTCTGGTATTAGAAAATTAACTAAAATTCTGAAAGCTTACAATTCTAATCATATCCAGGTAATTTAAAAATGTAGAAATTCTATCAGATCCAGTTACTCAAGCTACCTCTTACCAGAGAATTATGAGGCATTGGTGACAAAAATACCAAACTTATTATAAACACTGTGGCTTTGCAAAACAGTTATACTGTATACACACTTAAAATATTTTTAGTTTATACTTCGGGCACATCCTATAAGAGACTCCACCAACCAGTTTTAAGCAATAACCCTATTAATGGATAAACTTCAGAAGGAACAAGAGATGGTTTTTACATTATATTTTTGACAATAACAAAGAGGAGCAAGATAAAAACTGACCATCAAACACTGCACAGCAAGCACACAAAACCTCTTAGTACAAGGGCTGTAACTATTATTGTTCAACTTTTGTGGGCCAGTTATGTTAGTGATGCATTGGTAATTTAAACCTTTAACTGACATTTTTTTGACCTTATCACATCAGAGGTTCAAAAAGTAGCAAAAAATTTTTATTTTAAAAATTGCATTCACTTGCAAGAAGAAAACTACTTTACTTCCAGTTGTACCATTAGAATTTAATGACAATGTGGCATATCCATTTTCTAATAGAAAATATAATTCAAGTGTACAGTATTAGGCAATATGATCCACACAGCTAAGTATGAAATGGAAATGACGGCATTTCTGCTCATTTCAGATGTGAAGATTGGATTATTTGTTTCAGTAATGTTATTATGACAATCTCTGACCCAAAGACCCAAGTAACTTAATGCCAAGGTGGGTGTGGATGGGGGTACTTCCCCCAAGTGTAGTTACAGGATGATAGCCATGCTCGTGCCATCCCGTCTTCCCTGTACCCTTTGTCACACGACACCTTGAAACTACCGACGGTTTTGGCCTCCTCCACTTTCTTTTCTTGTTCCAACCATCTACCACTGTTTGCAGAAGAAAGCTAACATTGTTAATACTTTTGATTCCTGGGCTTGAATTTATAACCTCTTAAAATTGCAGGTGTCAAGAATTCCTCTGTCAATTTTGTTATTTCCTGTTACTATTTTGCAAGTAGTGATTATATCTTATCTTCTAACTTCTAGCTTTCGCTTATTTAATGCCTCAAGATGCTCCTCAAAGATGTTTTTCAGTCCCGGAAGTCATTTCATAGCTTGTCTTTGCATTTGTTCCAGTTTATTGAAGTAATTCTTGATATGGGCACCATACAGCAACTGCATATTCCAATTTTCCTCTCACAAAAAGTGTCATGAACAGCTTCTTTAATATTTAACCATCCATGTATAGTGGAGCCTTGATTCAATGAACTTCTGGTTGGGCATTTTTGGAATGTTTTTGTTGGGCGATGCTAACTCTTAATATGCCTCCAATCACATTTTTAATGATTTTTGTAGATGAACACATTACAAGAAATATTAAGCCAGTGAGTATATTTTAAACCACATTCTATGGTTCGTTTTAATTTGGAGATTCCCCAGTTTGTGTCCTTTTATGGGTCCTTTTCCATTGAAAATTAGATTTTAAGGCTTGGGCATGGAACATTTGCTAGATGTAGTTAAATCTCTTTAATTAAAGACAGGTTCTCTTGGTAGCTTATGAGATTGAAATTAAAATTTTGCTTGGTAAAACCAGCCCATAAAGCATGGGAAATATTAGGGTATGAATGGTAACATTCTGGCTCCAATAATGTTTTTGATGATTTTTATAGGACTTAACATTACAATAAATAGTTGGAGCCTTGGGAAAGCTACTAAGAATATTTCCAAATCAAATTCTATGGTTTGTTTTCATTTTGAGTTGGCAATGTTGTCATTCACTCGGGTATGGCCCCGCTACTGTTTGACAGTTAGTAGAGGTTGGGACCACGATAAATAAGCTAGATGTGGTTAAAAAAAATTTGCAGACATGTTCATTTGGTAGATGTCTAATATAGTGTAGATTGAAATAAAATGGTTCAGTAAAGTTAGCCTGTAGGTTGTAAAATGTAGGTTAAAATAAAATTTTGTTGAGTAAAATGAGCCAATAAGACATGGGAAATGTATCCTGGAGGCATCTCTAGTTGCAACAAATTCCTCACTGCAAACAAATTGGGTTGGTCCCATATAGTTCCTTGAATCGAGGTTGTACTGTAATTAAAAGTGATTATGAAATTGGAAAGAGTAGCATATGCTCCTCGCACTATGTTCTCTGGTGACATTTTATTATCCAGAATCACTCCTTTACTCTATCTCTTTCTTTCTCAAGAGTTCTTTAATGCCTTTCCATAATTTGTAGGTTGCACGTGGCTCATTTTCAACAACACATTCCATACCATGGCACATATTCACACCGAATTCTATTTGCCAAATGTTATTCATATGCTTATTGAAGGACATATGACAATATGCTATATCTTGAAGAGCATCTGACAATAATGCAAGTCTTATCTTCCTTGGTAGCTCAGCATCATCAGCAAACATTTTCAATGCTGTATTCTTTCTGGTAGATCAGATTGCTCCTGTATGAAACAATTTCACCCAAAATTATCAACTGCCTGAGCTTGTGACAATTTCCTGTTTTTCCTGTTAAGGATAAAGTTTAATGTTTATTTACATACTATTGCAAAGGACTGGTTCAAATCTGACTATCTTTTGAGAAAAATTCCACAGTACCTGTATAGCATTATGACAAAAAATTTAAAATTCATTTTTTGTTTACGGGTTATCTATGACAAACACCTCGGTTGCGACATATGACTGAATTGTTATTCAAGATAACTCAATGCAGCAACCAATGGCCTGATCACCGACAATACATTGGACGTCATAAGATTAATGATAGTGGCAACACCCACTTGAGCTAATTTACAGACCCTATAGATTAGAGAGGCCCCGTGAAGGCTGTTCACACAATCAGTGCTCATCAATATGGCTTACATCATCACCTAAGATTTATCTAGCACAGAATTCTCTCCTTTTCAAAATTTTACAAAAATCCAACATGAAAGAATCAAGTGCTCCATTTATCAGCAACCTCTTCTCCTCCCTTATAGAATTCTGTATTTATTACAGTATACAATACTGTACTGTAGTACAGGTATTATTACTCTACACCAACCAATCTCAAGTCATCAACCTTACTGGTTTTAATCAAATTTACCAAAATATCAACCTTACAATTTTTCAAGTCATCAATATTGCCAAACCAACTTTTTTATAAACAAAGGTTCAGTACAGAACCAGCTGATATAGCATAACAAAAGTTCCCGCAACAATACAAATCCAGTTGTCCTAGGCCATTGTACAGTAATATCACACCGAACTGCTACGTACATTAGCGGCTGTGCAAAACTTATTTAATCACCCAACTTTGTACTTGTGCAAATTGGACTTTTTATATAAATCAACAAAATTAATATAAAAAAAGATTCCTGTGTTATTATACTTGTAGCTAAATGTTTTCAATCAATCTATTTATTCACTGAGCAAAAAGGAGCACAAGTTTCCATAAATCAAATTGAAATGTGATAAGCAAAAGTTTCATGACTACATACTCAATACACATGGCAAATTTTGCATTATATTTCACTGGTAAGGTGAGGCAACAGCAATAATAATTCTTGAAATCAATCAATATGATTCTAGACTTAGTGTATTACATTTAGCAAATTTTGCATAAACCAACATGAGAGGCATGCACAATTAATGGAAAATCATACTGGGGCCCACTTTTCAACTACTGTAAACCATAAATGTATCCAATATATCTTAAAAGTTTGCTGCGAGTTCAAATGAAATGCAGTATTTTACTGGTAGGATGTACTGTACAGTACATACTATAATTTGTATCTCCCCCCCTCCCCCAGAGTTGCTATGGAGTGTAGCAGGAACCTGTAACAACCTTGCAGTCAACCCCAAGTCAACGCTTGGGGTTGACTGCAAGCCAGCTGTCGCTGTATGTCCGTTTCCTGTCCCCCGCCCCAACTCAAGTAGTGTTTAGAGCTCACCCAATCAGGAGGCCTATGCATGGTTGACACTGCATTCTGATTGGCAGAGCGGTCTGTAGCTTTGACAAAGGAATAGGGTTAGAGCCGGCTTTATCGTGCCAGCTCCCCTCGCCCCTCACTTCTCCGGACGCCTAGAGGAGAGAGGATGGGTGCTCTAGTGAGCACCCTCACCCTCGAAAGCTACAAGTCACGATTCCAGGATACCCATTGAGGACGACTCCCCATTCACTGACGACGAAAGTGCACTATGAATGTGGGCCCTGTAAGAGTACTTTAATTGAAATTGTTATCACGTGACTCACTCTCGTGGTGCTTAATTGCAACCCAGTGAGTCGGGTGGATGGTCTTGACTACCAGTTGGCGAGCCCATTGGAGCGAGACGCCACAGAGTGCCAGTCTGGACCGTGCAAGCGTTTGTGAATGATTATTCAAACATGTTAGTATGTTATTGTGCATGTAATTTAATATCACGAGCATCGAATTTTGAGCTCCAAATTGTCCCTGTTGCATACACCAGTGGTGTTTAGGCAGCCATTATTGCTGAGGTGGTCATGATACCAGTGTTAAGGTTAGGTTGCATCACATCACCTGAGTACTGTCAGCAAGAGTACAGTACTGTGTATAGATGTGCCCATGACCCCCCTCAAAATAGACAATTATCCCATTTCCATGTGAAAATATATTTTCGTTTTATGTTTAATAAATTGATGTTAAGCATATGGTGTTTCAGGAAAACCTTTCTTCATTAAACTACTGTTGCTGACTGTCTATAAAGGTCACCATCTATTATCTAGCCAATCTTATAAATTCGATGAACCGACCTCTGTTTTCCCTGCATCTCCAGGTGGAAATCAGACACGACCTGTATATGGCAAGATCTCCACAGGATCTTTTGTTGTTGCTTTAGGCATTTTACGTTGTTGATTATTACAGTGTCTTGCACTCCTGTCCTAGCCTAGCTGCACACAGTTGTGGTCCAAACTTAAATGTGGACATTGAATTCAAGGTATGTTATTTTAACTGTTCTTGCTTCTAGTGGATATTGTCATTAAACTGTAGAATGACATGAGTAGACAACTACAAAGAAGCATTATGGATAATAAATGATTTGTGGCATGGCATCAAAACATGTCATTTCCTAATTCTATGGCTGGATACCAAAAACCAATTACTGTAAATCCATTAAAAATGCCATCAACACAAACTATTCTACCTTGTTAAATATTAACATCAAAGCATAATGCTCAATGGTGTTAAAGAAATGAGGCCCCAAACATTAGAGGTATCTGGTATTATTGGCTGACAACCTCATACCCTTGTCTAGATGACTACCTGAACAAACATCTAACTGGTAACCACAAAAAGTTGTTAGTTTTGCCTAATAGCATGGAAATGGCGGGAGTTATATTACAGATCATAATACACATTGTTATACTGGCAATTATTTTTTTAAATGGAGCAATGTGTCTAGAGACCAGAGTATGCAGACAATTCACACTGCACAATTCCAGGTGTCTATTATTTTTTATTAATATCTCCATATATTGTACAGTATATACAGGACAACATCTATTCAGGTGTTCCCTTTACAGAATGTCTCGATTTGTACCATAAGTTTAGCGAATAACTTAAAAATTTATTAAGTTTACAGTGAACATAAATAACCAAGTGTCCACCAACCATTACTTATGCCCTATGGGTTGCCAATTCAGTAGTGATACTTCTCTACCAAGCAATAATAGCTCTATGTAGCAAACCAATTTGCACATCCATAACTAAATAGTGAAGCAGTACTTACCTAAAAGATGTGTCCAAATATTCCCAGTCTCTGTGTGAATTCGGAATATGGATTTAAAGCATGCAGCGAATGATGGAAGTGGCGGCCTGAAGAAAGAAACGCGAGAATTACAACCAATAATTAATAGCGTCCAAGTATTGTACATTACTAATATTCTCAAAAGCTAATTATTGGGCAATTACAGTACAAGTAAATCGTTGTATTTGACAATCATATCTTGCAAGTGTATCACTGCCGTATGGAGGGAGAGGAGGGAATTGTCAGGGGAAAGCAGAAAGCCATTATGACTATATAGCACTTGGGTGGGGTCAGAATAAGGAATTGGGATGAGACGGGGGAAGAGGAATGGTGCCCAACCACTTAGATGGTCGGGGATTGAACGCCGACCTGCATCAAGCGAGATCGTCGCTCTACCATCCAGCTCAAGTGATTAGAATGCATTATGGAAAATGATGCGATGCAACTTTGAAGTAGTCACGGGGGCAGATTTAAGAGCCATCTGCATGCTAATAACCTGAATTTATCCTATACATTACTCTGCAAAACATGATACATACATCTCTAAATTAAATAAAATTAAAAACTAGTCTTCTATTTGTCTTACAACAATGTAACATAAAAGTATTCAAAACTTGTGTTGTTTATTGTGCTTAGGAGGATGAAGGGAATGATACATTACAGAGGATATGCCTATACAGATATGGAGTAATATGAATAAAAGATATTGCTCTTAAAAATTACTTTATCTATAATATTGACCTCACCTGTGCCAGTGATGTAGGTAATCATTGTCTTGAAGCCATTTGGGTAATTTTGAGAAAGGTTGAGTTTTCCAGCTAGCTACCTCCTCCCACACTTTGTGTACTAACTCTTCAGCCGTCTCAAAGGCACTCTGGGCCATGGAACTGAGCACCAGGTCATCATCGTGGCTCTCTCGATTAACCACTCTGTGCCGCAACTCCTCTTCCTGATATAGACAATTAGAATGAATGCAAGTACGTACAGTAATATAATTTTTTAAATAATTTCTAAAAATCAAATGCTGTAATAATATTATACTGGGTACTGAGATTATTATATGGTACAATATATCCTTTATCCCCATATTTGATAGGAATTCTAGAAATGATCCTAAGAGAAAATGCTCACATTCAATTTCAATTTCTTTATTATGCACCCCATACCCATCCCGTGGGCGGTGGTGTAAAGGATTACAGAGGAACATAATCGGTTCAGGAACTGAACCCTCTAGTTTGTTTAGCTAAGGAAATCTTTTGACACTAGTTATAGGTTCCATTGGTCAATGTGCCATATAGTCAGTCTACCTCAAATCAACAAAAAATAATTAACTTTTAATAGCTTATGCAATTTCAGAGAGGCAAAAAAGCACTTACCATATTTTCAGTATTACATTTAAAGGGATGATAAAAAATAGTAGTGTGGAACACAATCTAAAAATTGGGAAGCACAGGCTCTCAAGAATGGGTATTTCCAGACTACCGACTCGAGATCCAACAGTGTAGCATAATACTGTACCATTAACTCTTTATGGGTTTTTTCCAAGAAAACAGCCAGCTGTTAACTACTCCTAGATCAATGTGAAAGTTCTGTACTACAGTACAGAATTCAACATTTTATTTAGTTTCTAAAAAATACACAGTACAAAGATAAATTTAATGTTCTTTCCTACAAACATAAATCACTGCCACCTGTTACACATCATTCCGCAAGACAACCAGGGATAAGAGGGGTACAATACATCCATAAAAAATTAGTTCTTTCGATCATGGTCTATTGAGGAAATTATATCCATGTAGTTATATTTTGTAACATTAAAAGTATTATGTAATGATTATTAGGGTGCTATAATTAGTATAGTGCATGGGCATGATGGCTAAGTTGTAGACCTAATGGTAAGGTTGTTAGAGTGGTGGTGATAGTGGCAGGTGTATTGGTGAGTGTTGGTAGAGGTGGTGGTAATGGCAGTACTTGGCTTTCCGTGTACAGGAAGTTAAGCTCTAACTCTGGTTAGCTATTTGAATCTTGTGCAATTAAATTGTACCTGGATGGGGTTCTGAGAGTTGTTCTGCTCCTCAAGCCCAGCCTGGGGCCAGGCTTGACTTGTGAGAGCTTGGTAGGCAATTGCTTGGAGCAGCCCACTAACCACTATGCCTGGTTAGTCTGGCACTTCTTGCAGAAAACTATCCAGTTTTTTCTTGAACACTTCCAATTTTGTTCCGGCAATATTTCTTATACTTGCTGGGATGATTTTTTCTTTTTTTTTGGGGGGGGGGAGATATACAAGAGTTGTTACATTCTTGTACAGCCACTAGTACGCGTAGCGTTTCGGGCAGGTCCCTGGAATACGATCCCCTGCCCCAGGCGAGTGTCTTACCACTACACCACGGAGACTGTAATTATGAGAGTCGAGTAATATTGAACAACCATGGACCTCTGATGTTCAGACAGTGTTCTCTGATTGTGACTATGGCACCACTATTCATTGGCTCTTCTGCATTTCCTTCCCTGTTATTCACTCCAATAGTGTTACTGTACTTTACTATACATACTAGGGACCTGGCCCTCCAATATTTTCCATGTACTGTACATATAATTAGGAACAGGTATCTTTCGTCTCCTTTCTAGAGAGTACATTTTGAAAGCTTTGAGACGATCCTAATAGTAGTAGTTTTATCATGTCTGTGTGTTATATGTTCTCTGTACTAAATTTCAGCAATCTCGCCTACTCTGAAGGGAAGTGAATACTGAGCAATACTAAAGGTAAGACATCACAAGTGATTTGAATAGTACAGTACTGTATTAGTGATGGGATCCCTGGATTTGAAGGCTCTTGTAATCCATCCTATCATTTTTCTTGCCAACACTATTTGCTTGGTAATGCTCCCTAAACATTAGGTCATCACAATCTCAGATCCTGTACACAGTGCTTTGCTACAATAGGTAGATTAGTATTGGTACAAGACTAATGTTTTGACTAATAAGTACTACATTATCAGTCTTTAAAAATCAATTATTGAATGCAATAAATGAACTTTGACAACTTCTCAGTAGTTCCCCCTCAAGCTTATACACTGGGGTACTAAAGCCTTTAAGGCCCACACCAGGTCTTAAGACTTCTATCTTCTACAAAAAAACAGGACTAAAATCCTGGAATCTGATCAGCCAAGAACCTGGGTATAATTCTTCAAAAAGCGTAGGTACAACAAGCATCTACCCAAATGAAATAGTGAACCCTTAGAAAACATGGCGAACAGTTGCCGCCTTGGGAAAATTGCCAAAACATGTGATGCACCAGGGTACAACCAGAGGACAAAACCCCCAACCCCACAAGGAAAAAGGGAACAGGGCAGGAACAGTGAAATACTGGTGCCCCATTACATTTAATGCATGATTAGGACCTGAAATTTTCTGGCCCAGCCAAAAGGGAACCAACATTAGGACCTTGCCAGAGAACATCTCCAGTGTCTAGACAAAATGTAGAGCAACAGCCAAACCAGAAGGAGAAAGAAACCCCCACTGACCCTAGTCCAGCCAAAAGGCATCTTCCACACAAGCCTCATGATCAGGAAAAGTCAATCTGGAAGCCGTCGGTTCCACCCTGATGCAAAGAGGTCCACCTCGGGGCAGCCAAATGTGTCTCAAACCCAATGAAAATACAGTATGAATCGAAGATCCACCCCATGTTAATGAAGCGAAACAAAACTGACAATGTTAGACATGCCAAAAAAACAAACTGCATGGAGCATGGAAGTGATCTGAGAAGAGCCAGACCACAGAGCCCATTGGGAGACAAAACAACTGCAATGTGTGCCTGAAAGCTACGAATTTGTGCACTGTGCTGTGCTCCTGGCTGAATGGACCCACTAATGAACCCGAGTGGCCAGGCGTGCTAGTCAACCCCCTGACCCAAGTCGAGGTGTCTGAAATGGTCAACCATAGAAGGTGGTGCCATGGAACAGAACCCTGAAGAGAAAACTAGCAAACCAGATGCTGACAATGGGCCAGTTGAGCTCATGCCAAACTGTCCTGGGGTTGCACGGGGACAGAACTGAAGAAAACAGTGCAGCACCCAGAGAAAACCCAGAGGATACACCACAAAGACCAGACTATCACACAGCCACTCTAGCAAACAATGGGTGACCTGAGGACTGCTACTACATCCAGTGCTCCCCCTACTTCCAACTTCACTACCAGTTCTCCCCCAACCTCCCACATCACACCCAGTGCTCCCCCCACCCTACCACCCACATGCCCAGTGCTCTCCCCCCCCCTACCACCCACATCATGCCCAGTGCTCCCACTATCTAATAATTTATTCACAAGTAGGTGCAATACATTGGGGAGATTACACAAGATTGCAAGAATGTACAAATACCAAAGCCACTAACATGCATAGCATTTAATCTAACATATCAGGCAAGATGAAAAGGTACACTGTAGCAAGGTTTTATATCAACTACAATATAAATTGACATGATTACACTGGTAAGGATATATGTCTTAAGTACTAATATTGGGGGAAGTGGGTAGTACAAGATACAGTGCGAGTTTAAAGCACAACTAGGCAGAAATTACAAGGATGAAATTACGGTAGGTACAGTACTTTCTGGTTTTACTTTTCAATAGGGCATAGGCTGGACAATTTTTTAATTCATAAGGGAGTAAGTTCCAAAAACTGAGCTCTTATTTGTATGGAGGGTTTGCATAGATTTATTTTGACTTTGGGGATATCAAAGAGATATTCATTTCTGGTGTGGTGTTCATGGGTTCTATTAATCAAGGAAAAGTTTCAGATCAAGATTAGCATTCAGGAACAAGGTTTTGTCCACGTAAATAGCACATGAGAATGTGTGGAGTATGTTTTTGCATGTTAAGGGACTTAAAATAGAGGGAATGTGTTGTGAAACAAACACATCTTCAACAAACTGAAGACAGTTTGTTGAAGTTCTGATAGATTTTTGCCGAGTGATGATGGGCTCAAGGTAATTTGCAGTGGTTGAACCCCATGCACAGATACCATATGTAATATAGGATAGATTAGCGCGTAGTATAATGACAGGAGAGCAGAGTGAGGAACATAATACTTGATTTTAGAAAGTATACCGACTGTTTTTGAGACTTCTTTGGCTGTGCTGTATGTGGGTGCTGAAGTTCAGTCTCTTGTTTATGTGGTTCAACTCTTGGACCACATGTCCAACCCTGGACATGTGGTCCACAGTTGTAGCAGATGTTTGAGTAATTCATGTGGTCTTGACGATTGTGGGGATTAGCATATAGGAGTTCATGCTGTTTAGGAAGTATTCGACTTGGGAGGCTATTTTGTCGACAGAGGTCAATGTTGAAGTCACCTAGGATGTGATTTTTGTTGCATTTGTTGTTTATGATTAAGTTCCTTATATTTTCTGATAATGTAGTTTTATTAGTATTGGGAAATCCATAAATAGCTCCAACGTTTATTAACGATTTAAGGGATTTTACCTAGAATTGAGCAAAAAGTATATTCCCAGTGGTCTATTTCAAATAACATGTGTGCATTTGATAGATAGTTGATAGATAGCCATGTTACCACCTTTTTTTGTCTTGTCTGCATTTGTGAATGGCTTTATATCTGGCCAAGTTGTATAGTTGGGTATGGTCTTTACTTAGCCATGTTTCTGTTCAAATAATGAAAGATTGTTTAGGGCCCAGTGCTTCAAGTAGCACACTGATGCCATCAAAATGTTTACCAAGTGATCTGACATTTTGGTTGAATACTGACAGGTTATTATTATTTTGGAGTTTGTTTTTAGTAAGGTTTGCAGTGTAGTAATTGCAATCATGATCAATGTGCTGGTTATTGTAGATATGTGATCGCAAATTTAATTCAGGGTCAATAGTAGTTTGCATAGAGTAATGCTGGAGAAGACTAAGGATCAGATTTGAATATTGGGGAGGTGTGTAACATTACAATAAACCGTTACAATATAAATTCAAATTATTAAAAAATAGTCGAGAAGAAAGTGGAATACAAAAATGAAGGCATATGTTAATAAACTTGGCAAAATTACTAAAATTACACTATAATAAAATAGAAATTAACTTCAGTAGAATAATAAAACATAGGAGCAATCAAAAACTTCTAGATATACAATTATAGCAAAAAAATGCACATATAATAGGAACAGGTAAAGATCACTGAAATTAGACAAGAGGCAGGTGGAGGCTGACTCCATACAAAGTTTCAAATGTAAATACAATAAGATCCCAGTAGGCTCAGGAACCTGTACACCAGTTGATTGACAGTTGAGAGGCGGGACCAAAGAGCCAGAGCTCAACCCCCGCAAGCACAACTAGGCGAATACAAGAATACAGATATCAAGAAAAAAATAAAACATTGACAAAGATATACTATATTGAGTTAGACTTATTTATATAACTATATTACCATAGTTACTGGTCACTGAAACAAAAGAGCCAAGTTGGAATGTGCAGGCGAGGGTAGTTGAGTAGTTTACAACGGAGGGTTAGTAACTAGGAGAGCCAGGAGAGGGTGTTAATAGAGGTAGAGGCGCCTGAAGGAGACGCAGGTGGTGGCCAAGGCCTCCTGCTGGTGGTGGTGTTGCGTCACCACCTTCACTACCCCCCGGACACAACCTTTACCCCGTCACTCACCTCCTTAGCGTCGATGAGGGACTCATCTTCGGGGGTCCCAGGGAGCGGGCAGCCCTCGCTGTCGTCGTCCCCCGGCACGTCCTCTAATAACTTGCTAAACTCGGGAAATAAGTCGGTTTCTAGCGTGGCATCGTCGGTAAAGTCCTTGTCAATGGTGCGCCCTAAAGTTCTCCTCCTCACCTCGATTTTAGTGCCTAAAACTTCATCAAACGCACTCATAATGACGTCCACTGCTCACTTGGGTGTCCAAGTCGTTTGCAAAGGTTTAATGAATCATGTAGCACCAAAGAGAGACACTAGAATACTGGGGAGATGTAACGCGCAGCTGCCAGCCGACCTGCCTGCCACCATCACATCAGCTGACTGGTCTCCAGGCCCCGGTCCTCCTCACCAGCCCGCTGCTGCCACCCTCCAAGCGACCACCAACTCTTCAACATTTTATTTCAATAAATACCCTGCTTATTCACTAAGTTCAACGTGTTGAATAAATTTGAGTTAACTTTATGTTACTGTCTACTGGGAATAGGGAAATGTAAGTGTATAGGGAATATATATACAAATGATGTAGGTATTGTGGAACTATGCACCTGCTCCCAAGACAAGTGGATGGTTCTATTCCGGCTTTAACAAATTACACACAACCACCACACTTAAGAGGACTTTAGCAACCTTACTAATATATATTTACGCTTAATATTATCATCAAATTCTTTATTACATTGTCAACAATTTAATGATGTTGGTAAATAGATATATCCGTGAGAGACAATAAGAGCGAAGCTGTGTGTTCCGGTGCGCGACTTCCGCAGAGATGCTCGTCTATCACCACCTCAACCTGCCTCTTACCCCTTTTTTTTTTTAACCTGAATTTACCTGAGAGCCACTAACACTAGTGGCCTCGACGAGGATAGGAAGCCAGCGGCTTGTCGAACAGCCGCTGGCTTCCCCATTTGTCTTCATCTTTTCCGGTTTATAATATCAATAATGCTGTATTATTACAATAATAATTATTATTATTATTATTAAAGTAAATAGTTACCAATATATAGGTATGACGAAACTCTTAAGAAACTTAAATAATCAGGATAGCCGCTGCGTGTACCATAATTAATTCATATATATATTAAGACCTCAATTTACCTGACAGCCATCATTTCTAGTGGCCTTGACGAGGACAGGAAGCCGGCGGGTTGTCCCAAGTGATATTTGGGGTTACAGTAGGTGTTTGAACCGGGCTACATGTGTCTGTTGTCATGCTGCTACTTTTGTCTTTGTCGACATGTTGCAACTTTTTATTTGTTGTCGTGTTGCTAGTTTGTCTTTGTTATCATGGTGCTACCCTGTACTTGTCATCATATAATATGTGGCTACCTTCTATTTATTCTCTTGCTGCATTGTCTTTGTCATGATGTTGCTACTTTGTCTTTGTCTTCATATTGCTATTTTGTCTCTGCCGTCATGCTGCTACACTGTATTTGTCATGTTGCTACTTTGTCATTGTCATGTTGCTACTTTGTCTTTGTCATGTTGCTACTTTGTCTTTGTCATGTTGTTCCAACTTTCTCTTTGTCGCCATGCTCCTTCTTTGTCTTTGTCGTTATGTTGTTACTTTGTCTTTGTCATGTTACGACATAGCCACGCTAACAAGAGATGTCAGCAGTACCGTTGCCTCCTGGTGGTGTACCAGGCTAACAAGGATATGTCAGCGCACGCATTCACCCCCCCCCCCCCACACACACACACCATCACTGACACTTCTGTCTTCGCTGGAAGACAGGAGAGTTAAGGGGACATGATCACCACATTCAAGACTCTCAAGGGAATTGATAGGGTAGATAAAGACAGGCTATTTAACACAAGGGGCACACGCACTAGGGGACACAGGTGGAAACTGAGTGCCCAAATGAGCCACAGAGATATTAGAAAGAACTTTTTTTAGTGTCAGAGTGGTTGACAAATGGAATACATTAGGAAGTGATGTGGTGGAGGCTGACTCCATACACAGTTTCAAGTGTAAATATGATAGAGCCCAATAGCCTCAGGAACCTGTACATCAGTTGACTGACAGTCGAGAGCGGGGACCAAAGAGCCGAAGCCTAGCCCCCCTCAAGCCTAACTAGGTGAGTATACGCAAGGCCACTTCCCTCTCATGTGTATAACGTTCTCAACCTCGCTACCATGTAAGGGTCATTCAGCCCTCGTCTCTTACCTGCTGACCAGTTTTTATGACGTTTTGCAAGTTTCCGGAACTGAATATAACATTATATTTCTCGCTGAACTTTTAATTCTTTCAAGATTTCTTTGCCATCTTCTTTCAGGAAGTTCTTCAATATTTTCTCCCAAGAATAAGAAAAACGCTCACGTTATATAGATCTTATTGTTAATTTTCTGTGTCCAGCCCCTCTCTCTATATAAAAAAAGGAACCGTTAATTACCCATTCTGACGAATAGCTCGTTATAAATTGCAGTGGATATGATAGGGGGTTAAGGCCTGGTAGGAGCAGGTACCATGTGGAATCATCGGCGTGTTAATTTCTTTTTAATATTGCCCTGAGGGGCGAGTTTACTGGACAGCGTCACCCATCCTGTGAATGGACATACCGCCATAGCAATATGTAAAACACCCCCCAATAGGAAGAAAACCCGCTGGGTTGTTCATCCTGCCACTTGTACCCAGACACAGCTAGGACTTGCTTAACTATCTCAAGTGAACAGCTTATCAAACAAAAAGATTAACATTCGTCAACCCTTAAAATCTTACGTTATCTTGCGGGTGCAAAATGGGGGAATCTTTTAAGAACAGTATCAATAACTACCCTGACACTGAAAAAAATATTTATAATGTCTCTGTGACTTATTTGGGTATTAGGCTTCCTCCTGTGTCCCTTTGTTCGTGTTCCGCACATGCTAAATGGTTTGTTTTTGTGCACCATGTCAATTCCTCTGAGAATTTTGTAGCTGGTGATCATGTCTCCTCTAACTCTTCTGTCTTCCAGAGACGTACTGTTTAATTCCCGTAGCCTCTCCTCGTTACTCATATTTCTCAGCTAGGGGACTAGTCTGGAAGCATACCTCTGAATCTTCTCAGACTGTCTTGTGTTTAATTAGGTATGAACTCCAGACTGCATACTTTAATTAGCTGCATACTTTAATTAGCTGCATACTCCAGGATTGGTCTGACATATGGGGTATCCAAGGTTCTGAATGATTCCTTACATATTTCTAAGGGCAGTTCTTATGTTGGCTAATCTAGCATAAGATCAACAACAGATCTTTCTTTGGGGGTTGATATCACACCGAACTTATCCCCCAGAAGCCCACATCAAACGGATATCATCAGCGGCGTATGCTAGATTGGCTAACACAACAGAGAGAGAAAGAGAGAGAGAGAGAGAGAGAGAGAGAGAGAGAGAGAGAGAGAGAGAGAGAGAGAGAGAGAGAGAGAGAGAGAGAGAGAGAGAGAGAGGAAGACTTGAGTCAGGGCCGTGTGAGTTAAGTATAGACTATAGAGCCAGTACACAGTTTTTGTGATGTCATATACTACTGTATCATGCTCTTTACGATTCATTTATATATAGATCCGTGACTGAACATAATAACTTTCCGTAGCTGAGACGGTCAATGAACTGAGATGTCCACTGATGTTTGGACAGCATAACTAAGTTTATTGTAGGTAAAGTTGATAATATGCAGGACTGGCGGAAGCTGACCAGTCACTGACAATCCTGCACCCCCAGAGTCCAATCCTCTCCCACAAAACGCACAACTGTATCGTGATCTTGTTGAAACTCTTGTCGCTCGCATTGAAAATGCATTAGAAAAGACGCTGGACCGATTTGTAACTAAATTCTTTACACAAGTAAACCAACCCATCACCGAGGCTGACCCAACAGACATCCCATCTACATCTACAATGACATCCGCCCCTAACACAGCTATATTTGATGTATACAAATCGTTTGAACTGATGCTGGAAAACAGCAACACTTTGATATCACCATTAACACAACTCCTCATCCTTGCCATCCCGAGTCTATTTCCACTCATATGCTTATTTTTCTCATTATCCTCACACAAATGGAAGACATCGATAACTTCCAACCTCTGGCAAATAATGAACATTGATGTGTCACCGTGAGTGAGTGTCACATCTTTCAACATCACCACTCGTGATGCACGTATCGTGAAGGAGGAGGGGAGGGAACTATCAGGAGAAAGCGATTGATTAATGATTGATTGATGAAGATTAAGCCACCCAAGAGGTGGCACGGGCATGAATAGCCCGTAAGTGGTGGCCCTTTTGAGCCATTACCAGTATCAATAGATGATACTGGAGATCTGTGGAGGTGCGACTGCACCCTGCATGACGGGACATGTCTCCCATGGAGAAAGCGCCAAGCCAATACGACTATATAGCACTGAATGGGAAGGGGTCAGGATAAGGGTTTGGGATGGGAAAGGGAAAGGAATGGTGCCCAACCACTTGGACGGTTGGGGATTGAAAGCCGACCTGCAGGAAGTGAGACCGTCGCTCTACCGTCCAGTCCAAGTGGTTGGACTGGCGAAGAAAAAAAAAGACCAGATTCATTTTTCACCCTGAAGGCTTTCCTCGTCTGAACATTATGCAATGATTATTGTAAATTATGAAATACAAACTCCATTCATATGTATATTTATTACGAGTACATTCTCGCCATTAATATTCTATATGACTCAAAACATCAATTAACAATGCAATAGGCTTCACGCAGTACTAACGCTCATCATCATGGCGTGCTGGCTTACAATAGCTGCCAGGGAAGTTGTCCTATGAATAATTCAATCCATCTTCTATAAATGATAGTCCCTGTAGCTAGATGGAATGTACAAAATATCTGGCTATTGTATTCAAAACATTTTAACTTTTTTTGTACTCTTGGGATACGTGAGGAGGCATGATGGTGCTACAGCCCGTCCTCCTAAGATTTCCCAACGTCAAGAAACTGCCGTACTAAAGTGCCTTATCTTAACCTACCAAAGGTATGTCAATTTTGCGAGCTGCTACCATTATCTAGTACGACAATTTTTCGCCGTAGGTAGAGTATACGTCAAAATGCGACGTTCTATTAGGAGGAAGGATAAGGTCTTGCCGGCTGGGCGCCTTCTTTTAATAATTATACTTACAAATAGCATGCCAGAAAGGAGAACAATATTAGGTTTGTAGTTACTACACCATTTTAGGCTTTATTTAGTACATATATATGCTATACTAAGCCTAGGAAAGATTAGGTTTAGTTGATGTGATCTTTCTTCGGTCCTCTTCAAATAGTTGAACACTATTTTTTAAGGTGCAGCCACCCAAAAGGTGGCACGGGCATGAATAGCCCGTAAGTGGTGGCCCTTT